GTGGTTTTGGTGGGGTCTTGGCAAAAGTGTCCGGCCAAGCCGTGTGTCCGGCCAAGCCGTGAGGTACGTTAATCATACTTTGCTCCAACGTACAAAATAATGATAACAATAATAATAACGCCGTAACATGAAATCAACATGACAACACATAACTACATCACTCAATCAATCATTCACTCATTTTGCATACGGTTCAAAACAAGCTTATAAGGAAACCATACATTTCTAAAGCAACGCAAACTAATAACAAAAACAGAAAGCACCGTCCACACATCCATCTACCCGTCCCCTTTCCCGTCTCCGAGCACAATGGTAGCAAGCTAGTGGTGTCTCTCCCTTCTTCCCCTTTCACCACCGGAAGCTGTCTTCTCAATGAAGTACAGCCACTCCACACCCCTAGCCTGCCCATCCATTGCGTCCCTTCGAGTCTGCCAGCCAAGCTTCACTCCCCATACATTCTTGTGATACAATTTAACTTCGTCCCCTTGTTCAAGCTTTACCTCCCCACAAGCTGGCAGCCAAATCCGAAGGGGGGAAACTCAAGGAAAATTTGCTGAAAAAAAACCATACAAAGGACAAGGGGGCAGGGGATAATTAATGTGGGGTGAAATCAAACAAAAACATGCGCAATCAGTCGGAGAGCTGCCCAGTGACGCAAAGCTTCGCAAGACGTTTCGCAAGAACCATTGGCTCCAATTGGCCAAGGATCGTTGAAACATGTCGTCTGCGAGCTGAAGTACTGTAGCAATTTGAGATAACGTGTGGGTCGAGCTTCCAGAGATACGAGATAGTCGGACAGGACACCGTGACCATAGTAAGTATGAGACATCAAGTGCCTCCCTCTAGGTCTGTACCAGATGCCTGCCGACTAAATCCCATGGACTGATCAATAAGCGACGCCGTCCAAAATGTTGCCAGGACGGCGGTGCCGCATTTCCCATTCGTAGTGCGTGCGAAGCCAAATTCAAATAGGCGGACCCGCAAGAGTTGAGATGACGAATCGAAAGCCGCATCAAGAATCAGTAACCGGATGCATACTGGTCCCCGCCACGCTTATTGGCTGAACGAAGCTGCCTGAAAAAAAGAACAAGGTTAGTAAGGTCTGCATCTGACATCCCCCGCGCTAAGCGTTATCACACCAAACGCAAAGGAGAGGGTCCCTTACGAGGATCAGATATATCGAACTCACATTCCGGTGCCCTCCTGGCGTGCGTTGACCGGTCCGCGCTTGGTGCCAGCAGCGGTGCCGGCGTTTGCAGCAGCCGTGGTTGTGACGTGGCGTCCGCGACCCTTGTCGTCTTCATCGCCCTGGCCCTGGTTGGCAGCTTGGGCGATGGCTTGGGCGTTCTTCTGGTACTTGTAGACGGTCCAGTCAAAGACGTAGTCGTACTGGAAGCCCTCACGAACAAAGAGATCGCGGAAGATCTTGCGGAGGTACGAGTAGTCCGGCTTGTCATCAAAACGCAGAGAGCGCGTGTAGTTGAGGTAGATGGCAAACTCGTTGGGGAAGCCACGGCACAGGACTTCGGTAGGAGTGGTCATCTTCTTCTCCATGATGCGGTCGTATTTCTGCTTCTTGGTGGCCGCCTTAAGACCCTGCCAGGGAAGGGAGCCACGGCAGAAGTAGAGCATGACATAGCCAAGGGACTCCATGTCGTCACGGCGGGATTGTTCTACGAATGTTAGCTACGAGAAGCAAGGCGGGTAGGGGTGAGAGGGTTTACGTACCGACACCCAAGTGAGTGTTGATACTGGCATAACGGGCGGTACCAGTCAAGTTCTTGTTCTCTCTGTAAGGAATGTGGAAGTGGGTCTTGGGGTCGCGGTACTTCTTGGCGAGACCAAAGTCGATGACATTGACCTGGTTGCCGCGCTTGCCAATGCCCATGAGGAAGTTGTCGGGCTTGATGTCACGGTGGATGAACGACTTTGCGTGGATGTACTCGATGCGGGAGATGAGCTGGTCGGCAAGAAGCAGGACCGTCTTGAGAGAGAACTTGCGGTTGCAGAAGTTGAAGAGATCCTCGAGCGAAGGGCCGAGCAGATCCAAGACCATGGCATTGTAGTCGCACTCAGTTCCGAACCAGCGGACAAAAGGAATGCCTACGCCGCCAGCAAGCGACTTGTAGACACGGGCCTCATACTCAAGCTGGGGGTGCTTGGCCTTGACGCTCTCAAGCTTGATGGCGATCTCCTCGCCGGAGATGATGTTGGTACCTGTACATGTTAGCTCAGCTCAGCTGAGGGGGGTGCGGCTTGGTACACACCAAGGTAGATGTCACCGAAACTGCCACTACCAATTTTGCGGCCGATTCTGTACTTGTTGCCGACGCGGAGGTCCTACTGGGGGGTCAGCCTGGTGCTTTGCAGAGATGCACTTGTCGGGACATGGTGATGATGATGGTGATGGCGATGACAAGAAGCAGTGGGGGGAGCATACCATTGTCGTCATGGTGGGAGGATGTTCAACCTTGAGGAGGTTGGCCCGGTGGTGAGGGTGAAGTGGTGGGTGGGCCGAGGGTGTTGACGATGGGACGTGGGTGTGTTTTGAGGATCAGCCTGCTGTGGACGGACCGGTCAGTATGAGGCTTTTGCCTACAAAGGCGGTGAGTAAGCGGGGAGCGGGCAGCCGAGAAACGCTAGAGGATGCAGTCGAACGCGTCGATAAGGGGAGGGCAAGGACTAAAAGGCTGGCGGGTTTTGGGGGGAGCAGGTGATGAGGGAAGCGTGGGTTGTGTGGTGAGGGAGTAGAGGCACGCAGGGTGGAGGGCGGCGCCGGGCTGGCGAGCTGGCGAGCTGGGCAGGACTTACGATAGGGCGTGCAGTGAGCCCAACGGAAAACGACCGCGAGGCGGCTGTGTGGAGGGCGATGAGGCTGTGTATGTGTGGGAGTGTGGGAGGGTTGTAGTGTAGCAGGTGAAGGAGAGGGAGGGAGTGCAGGCGGTGGGATGCACAGGCGGCAAGCAAGTGCAGGCTAGAGAAGAGCAGAGAAGCCTGGCAGAACAAGCACACAGCGGCGGGAGGAGGTGCTGTGAGGACGCAGATGGAGAGGATGCAGAAGGCGCACCCGCCGCACCTGCTGGTCTGGCATCGGCTGCGGCTTGCGGCTGGGCGCCCAATCACGTGGGGCGCTAGGTGGCGACGTCTTCACTGCGGGTGCGGTGGCGGTGTATCAAGCGCCGTTCTACCCATTCCCTACCCGACTCGCGCCCCATGCTGCCTCTGCCTACATCGTTACCCAAACCGGCTGCTTGCTTCTGCTCCTCGCCCACGGCCTCCCCCCCAGGGTGGCTCCATGCAGCTGGCACGCTGCGTTTCAAATGCCGCAAACTGATGCGAGCCATGTGCGATTGACAAACCCGCCCTCCGCCTCCCACCCCCTAATGCGTCATGTTGGTCCAAACCATGGCGCCATCATGATTTTGCCTACTCATCGCATGCAGCCGCCACCCCTTACTACCCACGTAGTCGGCAAAAATACTTCCTGCCCGATGTTACTACCTATCAAGTAGTACATATTCTAGAAGTTCGACGGCCCGACTGAGCCTCGCTCGCTTCCCACGGCTACAGCCCACCCAAGCCATCCATGGACGTCTACCCTCTTACAAACGTCAGCGCTCCACAGCTACGCCCTATACCACACCATACTTGCTTTCACCCTCATGTACCTCAGCCCTGGGGGTCAGGGCGCATGTGTACCTACATACGTGTGCTGTACTCTACCGCTTGATTCTTCGGCGCCATTTTGTGCTTTGACCAGCCCTCTTCGTACCCCGACACCTCTATCGGCGAGGTGCATTTGCCCTTACAACCAAGGAAAAATACTCTTTACAGAGATTGTCGCCTGCCTGGCCTCTCATCACACTGGACAGCATAACAAAATCTTTGACGTACCCCCATGTTTGCCAGACAAGTTCTACACAGCAATCCATGGCATCACGCGTACCTTGCATGGTAACCGATGCTGCCCAAGTGCTTGGACCTCTACTAGCACAAACGCATGCAATGCCATCTCATTGTTGCCCCAGCAATCGCCCTCGCATCAATCCACGCCTCTGACCATGCGCACTAGATCAAGTAATAATCCTTATTTCATTTTAGTAGCATGGTCTGGCCAATCGTCGTAAATCATGTGATGGTCTGCACACCAGAATGACATCTTCGAGACTTTGAGCACAACATGCTTTTCTTTGACGGAATCTGACATATTCTGAGCACACTAGAATCTATAGTCTGGGCAGAAAAGGCCTCTAGCTGTTGGTGTGACCAGGATTGATTTGGCGAAATCTATATGGCCGTCTCAGTGCGACATTTCCATCCTTTTCCCATTTCTGCGGTTATTGTACACTGCATCTGATAACATCCATATGCTCAAACCCCGCTTTCCACGTCATGCAATTTGAAGCTTAGTGGTTCGCTGACTGGTTCTTGACGGCGGGGTTTCGCGGGTCGTTCTTGTACTCGTCGGCTGGCTTGTGTCAGTTTGCGAACTTGAAAACTGGTCGGCCAATTCAGCCACCAATAGATAGACTACGCACCCTGGGACATGGCGTTTGCGGCAGAGTTGACACCGTAGAGGATGACAAGACCTGGTGGGTTCTGTTAGTCCAGCACTCTCCACAGTCATCCCTTCATTCGTTCTTCCGTGCCCTCCAACATCCCCCAAATCCATCTCTTTGCTTCCATAAAACTCCATCACATATGTGCATCGGACTCCGCAACGTACCAGAGACGTAGAAAGGCCACATGGGCTTGGCTGTAATTCCTTGGTTAGCAGTCATTCGAGCTTCACCATTGGCGGTCAGTGCTGTCCACAGAGACGTACCAATTTGCGCCGGGAATTTCCTTCCGAGAAGAGGCATTTTGACGTGTGGTGGAGGGGCAATGGATTGATTGGCGGTTGCGATGAGGATGGGCGGTGGTGGTGTTGAGCTCCGGTCGTTCGGCTTGCAGAACTTCGATATGCTTGGCATCGGCGCGCGTAAAGACCGACCCGTAAACACCATGTACACCAAGGGCGCAACAACCCCGCGACAGACGACTCTGCCAGCGACCTGGGACCCTACACTTTTACACTACTAAAGAGACGGTCGCAGTCATGGGCTCTCCATTAGAAGGATGTGTGGCCTCGCTACGCAATAGTATGCAACTACTGGATTCATCCATCAACATATTGGACGACGGCGTCAGCGACCTTCCTCGGCTGGCAAAAGTGCTGCAAACAACACGAGTACGTAAACTATACTCCGGAACCTTGCTGGGGCCTCCATGAGACTAACATGTTCCAAAGCACTTTGAACTCATTTCCGAGTCGGACCTTCAAACGGCGCAAGCAGGACTCCTCTCAGAAATACGCCCAGAAATTGACAATCTTCTCAAGCGTGTAGAGAACTACGTGGACAAACTCGAGCGTCGCGAACAAGCTCTTATAGCCAAATGTGACCTGAATGACGGACGACTTGGACGAGACAGCAATGGCGGTTCAGGATCCAGGCCAGCGAGCAGGAGTACGCAGAGAAATGGAGGCAAGGCTATAAGTGCGCAACAAGAGTTACGGTTCAAGGCATTAAGAGCAAAGAAAGACAGACTCAGTTATGCAGTAGAGACGCTCGAGCTTCAGGCGAAGCAACGAGAGAGGCAGCTGAGGATGAGTATGGCAGCGCCACAGCAACTATATGATGACTGAGCCCATCTGGACTCTTTCATATCATGCTGAGTGGATGGTCATGTAGCATGCGGATGCAAGGGAATAGCATCATTGTGTTGGGATGGGCGTTTTGCAATTGAGATACCCCTGGCGTATATATATGGCATACAATCCAAATGTCGTCGTCTGAGACCCTTGACAAAACCATATCAACGATACTTCTTTATGAAGGCTAGCCTTTGTTGCTGATGTCTTATGCAACTTGAAATGGTGGGGAGCATACATACAGCCAGTGATAATGCGCTAGCCTTTTTGACGGTGCATCATCGGCTAATTCCGAGAAGCGCAGAACTCGGCTTCGCAGAAACACCACCAGCTCCGGTAGACCAGCCATTGCATCTTCCCCACAACTCCGTCCATCATGAGCGCCCTCCGTATCGCCAGAGCCGCCCTCCGCGCAAGGCCCGCTGCCATCGCCCGCCCCATCCAGCGAAGAGGCTACGCCGAGGTCGCCAACGACAAGATCAAGCTCTCTCTAGCTCTCCCGCATCAGGTATGCACCACCACCGTCCATGCGTCATTGCAAATGTGCCGGTGAATCCATGCACACTCGAGAAACAAGGGCTGACAATTGGTTTTCAGTCCATCTACAAGTCCCAGGATGTGTACGTTCCGCAAATCCCGACCGATACCGCAAAACGATTACGCGATTACTGACTTGGGTCTCCGTGCAGTGTCCAGGTCAACCTCCCCGCAGAGACTGGTGAGATGGGTGTTTTGGCCAACCACGTTGCCTCTATCGAGCAGCTGAAGCCTGGTCTGGTTGAGATTATTGAGGAGCAGGGTGGCAACAAGCAGTTCTTCCTCTCTGGCGGTTTCGCCGTTGTCCAGCCCAACTCTGTTCTCAGCATCAACGCCGTCGAGGGCTACGCTCTCGAGGACTTCAGCGCCGAGGTATGGATGAATATACAAAAAAGACTAGCGAATTGCGGCTGATGTGAAAATAGGCCGTCAGGAACCAGATCGCAGAGGCACAGAAGATTGCTAGCGGAAACGGCAGCGAGGCTGACATTGCCGAGGCCAAGATTGAGCTCGAGGTATGTTTTTAGATGTATGACTGAAGAGAAGTTACTGACATGTTCAAGGTTCTCGAGAGCCTGCAGGCTGCGCTCAAGTAAATGTGTAAACAGCGGCCCTAGAGCACGGCATGGGTGGTATGTATAGTAACTGGCGCTGCGTGCTTTTCACGCGCAAAGGATAGAAGGAGCTTCAACGAAACAACCACAACATTCCAATGTTTTGCACTTTTGTTCTTGATTCATATTACTCCAGTGCCTGCTTATGTGAACTTCCATTTACAGCCATATATGGCACATTTTCTTGCTCAGCACTCATTAACCTATCCTATTACATCTCCCCTACCTTGATGAATCTCTACCATGGCAATCTAAATTATCTAAATGACACTACTCACCAGTTAGTAAATTGATACGCAACATCCAGCAACTTCACATGTTCCAAAACTTTTGATCATCTCACTTTGGAGCGTTGCATGCTATGCGATCAATACATGACTATGCAAGCAAGTGCCCTTTTTTTCCAACTGATTCGAAGAATAGTCCGTCTCAATCTCCTCGGCCAAACAACCAAGTCAGCATAGCCCAAGCCCAAGCCCAAGTCACTATGACAAGCTACCTCATAAACCCCACTCACCGTTGTTGTTGTCGATTTCCGGTAAACCCCCCCCAAAAAAAACACCCCTCGATATCCACAAATTTCCATTCGAGTCAATCGAATATTCTTTATCCCCAAGCAATCAGAAACACCGTTGAACGCTTCCACAACCCTGCCAAATGTCTCTCACCTTCATCCCTTCCATCCCCTAGGAAACCGTACATACGTTACCTTCACTGAACAAAGGTATCACCAAGATACTATCACCCCCCCCCCTACCCCCGCTCGCCCGAGCCCCAAGGAAGATACCTAGTGCTGGATACCCATGTACCTATTGTGATGATCAGAGCTACGACACCTTGACGTGGAAGTTTGTGAGTGGGAAAGCAGAGATAAGTTTGGAGGTTCGATAAGAGGAAAAATGGTAAAGAAATGTGTTTGGGGGGTAGGTTTAAGATGGCTGGACTTGGTGGGTTTGGATGATTTTTCTTGTAGGATTGTAAAGTGAGAAGGAGGGGTAGAGGAAAGCAAGGATCAGGGTGACTGGAGAGTGTCTGTTTAGAATCGCCTTTGAGTTGCAATACTGGAGTTTGGATGTTTACTTGACAAGCGTGGATTCTGACATACATCATTCCACTCAACGGTACAGAGCAACGGATACAATGCCAAATAACACCACGGCTTACAAATGACATACTACTCGGCTCATGAGCATGGAAACCATAATCGTTTCAGGGGCATCATTCACATTGGTCAAAAAAATATTTACACAAGACAACCACAATCTACCTCGCATCCATACCCTGCAGGCCCATGGCCTCCTTTGCGGCATCCACCTTCTCCGCCTCGCCCTTCTCCCTCAGTGCCACCTTTTCCACCTCATCGAACGACTTGAGCGCCTCGCCGTACTGCTCAAACACACCCTTCCTGTAGCCCTCGCAAATCTTCTTGACAAAGCCTTCCTCGTTCCACCTCGCCTCAAGGAAGTCTTCAAATTTCTCCGTCGGCGATGATCGCTGCACACCCCACGCGGCTTTGTAGGCGGCACCGAGGGCACAGGCGTTACCTCCGATCTCGAGCTTATAGACACCGTCGGAGCCGCCGAGAACCTGACCGGCGAGTTCGGCGATGGCGGGGTTCACGGCGCCGCCGCCGACCATGTAGATGCGGCGGGGTTGAGCAGGGAGGTTACCTTGTGGGGAAACGAGCGATTGCGAACGGAGACGTAGCGAGAGGAATTGTGACTCGAGGATTGCGCGGGCATCAGCCTGGGGGATTGGCCATGTCTTATCTTCTGTTTTGCCTTGGGCGGCTTCTGGGGCTACTGGTGATAGCTGGTTGTCCTTGGCAAGGAAGCGCCATGTGCCCGCCTTTACATTTGGTACAATTTCAGGCCGAGGGAAGAAGAGACCTAGGCGCATGGGGTCGGAAGGCTGTGCCTGGCCCAGAGCAGGCGTGGTGAGAGCCGTCTCGTTGAACTTGTCCCAGGACTTGTCTGACACGCCAGAGGCTTCATTGATTGCATCGCGGATATGCTCACGGGCTAGACCACCGTTCTTGTAGCATAACATGAACATATAGAGTCCAGCAGTTGTGGGGTGGTTCATGAAATGGTACGCAGGATCGGGTCTGTACTGTGGTGTAGACATGAGGAAGGTTGTCGATGTGCCGAGCGATACAATGGCATCCGAAGCACGGAGAGGGAGAGCGAGGATTGTAGACGGGTTGTCGCCTGTGAAAGCAATGACTTGCGCTGATGATGGGAATCCGAAGCGCTTGCTGAAGTATGGTGAGACGGTACCGAAGCTGGAGCCACCATCTTCATAAACCTTGCCCAATTTCTGCTTGAGTTCGTCGAGGCCTCCGCTTCCGCCGGCTGCGAGCGCAACCAAATCCTCATGCCAGCGTCCATTTTTAATGTCCCACAGGTTTGCACCTGTCACATCCGAGATGTCCATCGGGGCCACCTTGCCCAAGAAGATAGATGCGAGGAATGAGGATACGAGAGAAATACGAGCGGTCTCCTTGTAAGCCTGGGGGTATTTCTCCCTGAAACGGAAGATCTGAGGGCCGCTGAAGCGCTGTTGTAGAGGTTAATGGGAAGTTACAAAGTCGGAACTCAAGATACTTACGTGGTGAGCACTGCTTCCAGTAGCCAAAGCCAAGTTCCTTGGGTCTCCTAGAGTCTTGTCAAAGGCCTCGCACTGCTTTTGCGTGCTCGCATCCTGCCAGTTGGGGCTGAATGGATGGCTGAAAGCACCCTTCCTCTCTCCTTTGGCACCACCCTCCAACTGCTCAATCAATGTCTTTCCAGAATCAAGACTGCCCAGCAGGGTCTCTGCATCATGATTCCAGAAGACAGTACCGTGCTGCATGCCAGCACCAGAGATACCCTGGATCTTTGAAAAGTCGGCACCCTGCTCCTTCAAGCGTTGCAGCACCAGCTCGATGGCTTCAAGCCAAAGAGCAACTGGCGCAAATACTTCGCCCTCATCTGGATTCGTGAGGACACCCTTTTCAATGCCGTACTTGGAAAGGTCTGCGTCAAAGTCGACCTTGGCTTCGTGAATAAGTTTGAGGTCAGAACCGACAATAATTCCTAAAAAGGCGGCGATTGCGTTAACCTAGATGCAAATGGGATGGTGGGGTAGCTCTCGCGGGGTAAAAAGTAACCCACCTTTGAGCTGCTGGGTGCTCAGGTCGAAGCCCAAAAACTGGTCAGCCATGGTCGGAGTGTGTGGGGTGTGTGTTGAGCTGCAATGGCGGAACTTGTGGTGTTATGACTTCACCGGGCATTGCTAAATTAGCCGTCGAGTCTCGTTGGTGTTGATAAACCCTCTTCATATCCCGCGGTACATCACACTTACATACCGTTTTGCCGATGTGGGGCTCACCTAACGCCGACTAGGTGTAGTTCGCAACTTAAGTACTCTATTTCGGCGTTTGTATTGTAGCCGCCCAATAATAAGCTACTGATAGGTAGAATCTGGTATAGATTTTTTGCGTGAAGCAACCAATATCTAGTTTTCTCATTGTAGGTTTAGTGGCGACTCTTCTTCGTCATAATAGTGGCACGATCGCTACTAAAACCGTCACAAGCGCAAGCTCTCATTGCTCAGAACCCCTGCTTGGAATCAGTCTAAGCGTTAAACTTATCTGGGCTACAATATCAAAGCCGACATGGATATACACATGTGGTTGGTAGCATTGACAATATTAGTTATGTTCTGCTTTGTCCTCCCTTAACAGTTTTTTTGACCGAAGACCTGCGATCCGAGTCACCCGAATAGGTTATCTGGGTGTGAAGCCCAGGCCCCTATACGAAGACAACTCGCTTATATGCTTACTTTTCGTATCATCTACTATTTCATGCTTGTTTTAATTTAATAGAACCTAGTATCCGGTTACTCCGATCCATACAGCATGGAATAAAATTCATATTCTTTTCTTCACTGGTTTACTGACGACACTGGGCCGTGTTCTATCATCTAATCATACAACACTATTGAAACGCATACAAACACATAGATTTGCCTCCTAATACCTCATTCCCAGTTACATACTGTAAAGGAATCGACACTTACTCGTATACCACCACCCCAGGCCCACAACTTCCTCACCGCTATCAACCGCCTGAAACACGATCGTATAGCTCACAAGTCGCAATTCGTCCTAGCATCAGTCTCGCTTGCGGCTCTTCTATACCTTACATCTCCCCATCTCCCCATCTTCCCGTCGCAGGATATCTATTCCAGGCCCTCGTATCCAGTAGAGCCCCTGCTGAACAACCCCAGATAAAAGAGCTGGCTAGATGCCGCCAAGACCACGGAATACAGACGCCAGCAAATCAGCAGCTTGGACAACCAGAACAAACCCAAGGACCATGGCAAGTTGAGCGTAAACCGCTGGTGCTTGTTGCAAAAGGCGTCGTAGATCCTTGCCAACTACCTCACTACCCAGCATCAACAATGCCTGTTCCAAATTCGATACATCACGAGAGTCTCAGCACACCTGGCCAGAAGAGGGGGAGGCAATGAAGAAAGGACCGACTGAATTTTGAAGAGATGGTTGTCCAGTGGTGGTGATGAAGATGGTCGATGTTGATATCGTTTACAAGACAGACACTTCTTGCCTTTTATATACTTCAGTATCTATCAATCTCACCGCTCTTCACCACCAAAATGAAATTCTTCCTCTTCCTCAGCGCCATCGCCTTCACCAGCGCCGCCTACGTATGCCATCCTTCATCCCTTCCATCCCTTCCATCACTTCCCTCCCTCCACGCCAAAAACAAAAAGAAAAACTAACCATCCGCCAGGGAGCCGTCTGCCAATGCGGCGGTCCAGGCACATCCGCAACATCCAGCTGCTGCACTTCGGAACGCGGGCGCCTCTCCGGAAGTACCTGCACCGTGGCTGGCGACGTGGGCTCAGTGCTAGTTAGCTGGGCCAACTGCTGCAAGGGACAAGGGCTCGGGTGATGGATCGAATTGTAGTTCAGTAAGCAAGACGAGAAGCAATATCAAGTTTTAATTCCGTAGTTTTTGGAAAGCAAAAAGTAAAATCAAAAAATGAATATGGATGCTGTATACGAACTTTGGACGAAGATTTGATTTATTAGTATTGCATGTACTTCGTCAAGGGGGCCCCCTTGAATTGGGTTTCTTTGTTTCCCCTACTATGTCCGCTGTGGATATTTGTGGCCTTTTTTTTAATTTGGCTACGTACTACCCCACTTCTACTATTTGGTACCTTGTAAGGGCCTGTATAGTAATGGTACACCAGTGACAGCGGTGAATACAACTACATTACCAGTACCATGCTCGTAAACCACCCCCCAAAAAAGAGACCCACAATAAACGGGAGAGCTAAAACAATATTTGCCGGCGGGTGCCTTGCGTGCCTGCAGGACATGCATATTCTCTCCACTGGGGCCGCTATTGGGCGGCGGATAAATTGCAAGACCGGCCGGCCAGCCATCATCATTCCCCCATTTGCTTACTTTGCTTACTTTGCTTACATGCTCTCTTTTTCAGACGCCGATGGGGGTTAAGCTAAAAAGAGGACAGCTGTTCGCGCGGTAAAAAAAAGTCGTGGTCTAGAACAAATGGGGGACTAGTCACGGGGGGGAATACCGGATTTTGGTGGATTCGATACATAGAAGTCTATGTACGTCCAAATGCCAAATGGCCTGATATATACCGCCGGGTAGTCTTGGTATGCCCAACTCCAGAACGCCCAGTCATGCTTGTCTAGAAGTGTATCCAACTCATTTCCTTCGCCTCGCACCGTCGATTGTGTTGTTGTGCTCATGATCATGGCTGTGATCATGTTCATGCGCGTGGTCGTGCTTTACCTCTGATTCTGAGCCTGGCGATGCAGTGGTGTCGCCTGGTATGAACTCATCCAAGAAATCTGGCTCCTTTGCTGTATTGCTCACGAATCGGACGCGAACCTTTTTCACTCCCCGTACTTGAGCGCCCACCTGTTCTCTGACCTTGTCCTCGACACTACGTGTCTGCTCGACCGTCCATGCGCCAGCTACGCCGAGTTCAATATCCATGAGGTAGTTCTGACCCGCTTTGACACCTTGGATTGCCCGTACATTTACTGGCTCGGCTGTGGTTGTGATGCCCTCGAGAGCTTTGGTTGCTGCCTTTCGGACATTGTCCTTCATTTCCTGATCTACACCCACATCGGCCAGTTCCAACAGTGCTTGCTTAGTGTTGCCCCAGCCTGCTTGAACAACCATGAGAGAGATGACCAGTCCACCGACGGGGTCAAGCCATTGTGCGTTGTTGAAAACATTTGAGCCGGCAATCAGGAGAAGGGCGACAAAAGCTGTGAGAGAGTCGACGCGGTGGTGGTAAGCATTGGAAGCGAGGACGGTGGATTTGCGCTCTTCAGCGATTTTGAGTGCTGTAGAAAATGTTAGCGCATTGCCCCAGGTAGTGTCGGGTGCGTTGCTTACTCGCTCGGTATAACCATTCTTTGATCATAATTGAGCCAGCAGCGAGCCAGATGGCATTGATGTTTGGACCCATGCCCTCAATGCCATGATGGTGATGGTGGTGATGTGGTAGCAGACCCCAGTGTTCCGCAACTTCGGCAGCGCCGGGGAAGAATTGCTGACAGAGGGCGATGAGGGCGGTCCAGCCCATGAAGAAGCCTCCACCGAGCAGAATGCCGCTGACGCCTAGCGACCCCAAGCTCTCGACCTTTCCGTACCCACTTGGGAAGCGACTCGTGGGCGGCTTGAGGGACCAGCCGACGGTTGCGAGCGTCATGATGTCGCTCACGAGGTCTGTAAGGCTGTGGATGGCGTCGGCCACAAGTGCTGGGCAATGTTAGTACGGGCAATGTAGACTGCATGTGTACCCCTTACCCTGACTGTTGAAGACGTATCCGCCAAAGCCCTTGCTTATGGCCATGCCCAGGTTGACATAGAGGCCAACTCTGGTGATGCGCACGCCAGCATCGTTCTTGTTCTTAGACAACAGAAAGGTGTTATCATGGTGATGGTGGTGATGCAGGTGCGAGTGGCCAGCATGTGAATGCGAGTGCGTCGAGGCTGTCATGGTGGGAAAGGAGAGGCCGAGTGTACGGTGTCGGGCAGAGGACGGTGGGAGCAAAGGGAATAGGAGGCCCTGTGCGGCTGGCGTCGTCGTGTGGGTGCAGTGGACACGCGCCTTTGGCCGGGACAGCGGCGGCGACGAGTAAGCGTAAGGTGAGAGGGCGTGTGGTCGCAATGAGGCGTGTGTCGAGTACTTGAGGTGAGCACTATACATGGCCTGGGGCGAGGGCCTGACAGCGCGTCCATGGCTAAAGACACGCATGCCGTATCCATCTCTGCTGACGGTACGCAGTAACATGGGCCGTGGTGGCAGCGGAGGCGCCTCGTGCTTGTGCGGGAGTGCCAAATGCAATGCGGCTGCTCTCTCCAAGCCGATTTTGCGCCTCTACTGCGGTTGCGGTTGGCTGCCGGTCCCGGTCTTGTTCCTGGTCCATCACCACAACGCCTTGTGCGTCAATTGCCGCAATTGTGGGGCGACCCATGCCATCTCGACATGTTCTACTCTACATACCACGGCTATGTACTACACGTGTTGAGCAAGACGGTCACTGCCAGTAAGTACCAACCCCGCTCGCTGAACCGCATTCCCACAACGGCTAATCCAATTGACATACTTACACATGGCATTGTTACTACATGGACCAATACCAACCCGTCGTCGTTCCTGCAGGGACATGGGCCCGAGTAGTTTTCGCGGTGCAAACGTGCCACCAAAGACACGTATTAGCATTTGTACATACACATGCTGTATGTACCTACATACTACATACACGCGCATCCCAGTGCATGCGCATGTACCTAGTGCTACCTGTCCGCTATTCGAAACACCTCTCCCGCGGTTCCATCACCCCGCCAGCTTGCCCGCCGTCGTCTTCAAAAGCTCCGACTGCGCATCATAGCCTTGGCTTTGCGCCATCTGCTCCGGCTGCGTCCGTGCACCGGGCCAGGATCCAGTTCACCACGTCGTCCAGGAACGCTTCTTTATCAGGACTAGGCTCCTCATGCACTGGCAATGTCAGTGTGCCGTCTGCCTTTGGGTTCCGAGGGTATACGTACGGCGATGGTAATGCCCGGGATATGACTTGAACTCCTTGTCCTTGACTTGCAAGGCATCGAATAGTCGCTTCGACGCCGCGTGGCTAGTGATGCCGTCCTTGTCCCCATGCCCAATCCAAATTCTCGTCACGCCACCTTCTCCAGCATTGTCGGGAATGACAATCTTTCCGCTGGATAGAGCATTGGTTCGATCGAGCAGCCCTGCGAGGCCCTCGAGAGTGCCTGTGTCGTGGCAAAGCGGGTCCTCCTCAAATCGCTTGCAGACCGCTGGGTCGCGTGAGATGAGCTTCGACTCCAGCTTGTTGACCATCTGGCGTTTGCCCGCAACTTTCCCCGCCAGTCTGCCGAAGAAAACAGTAACGGCAGACGGCTTGGATTTGGGGTCAAAGTCAACAAAGGGTGACTCGAGGAGGTAGCCACGAATGTGCTTGCGGACCTCGTCAGGGCCATGGGCCGCATAGCACAGCGTCTGGCCTCCGCCCATGGAATGGCCCATCATAAAAAGGGGCGCTGGGCTGGGAGTGCTAATTACTGTCTTCATGAAGGAAGTAATATCGTCGAGGACCTGCTCAGTTGGACCCGTGTCGCCTCGCTCAGACGGCTTCGACACTGATCGGCCCCATCCTCTGCACTGGCTTTAAAGACGTACTCAAAAAGAATAGTGTGGACGCGTACGCACCTCTGGTCAAAGGTATAGACCTCGATGCCTTTGGCAGCGAGTCCGGGAAAAAAGTCTGCATAAGTATTCACTTTGCTGCCTGTCAGACGTCGGTCTTGTAGCAATAGGCCCGTATAGCCTCACCGTGCTACCCATCATCTGTCAATACTGCCGTGGATGCTATCTCAAGGATGACCATTACAACGTACATCTGAAAAGCCATGGATAAAAACAAGTCTTGCCTTGGGGGGCCCGTCGGTCTGTTCAATAGATTAATGCCGATCACTATGGTGCAGGCTCCACTGTACCCTGAAGGTCTTGGTGAACAACTTCTTGCCATCGGCGAGGGTATGCGTGCCCTCTTCGACAGACATGGCGGCTGTATGCGGGTGGAGTCGGGACAAACAGGCAAGGGAGAAAGGCCAATGTATAGGAGGTGTAGTTGGGATCTGCGTGGAAAGGGACTATTGGGGGCGCTGGGCGATGGCTAGCAATTGGAGCTGTGCTGCGTTGTTGTCATGGCCCCGAAAGTCAGCCGCTGCGCCCGGATGCGTCATAGCTCCGGGTGCCATCATGTCTGGCGCCCGTCAGCCACTCGGCCGCAAAGGATGACCTACTCCTACTATACGCACCCAAAAGCCGCCCAACAAGCCGAATTGCTAGCCATGGGTTGGTATAGCCCAGCATATACGGCTATAATTAGTGGCCGGCAAAGCTGCCGACTTGTACCCAAGGGGTGAAGTCGGCTAGACTCAACGGCTGCCGTCCAAGCTCCTGCCCGATGGATCATCCTGCATACGCATTGGACCCCTCTTGCTGGTGTCCCCACCTACATTTTCCTCGTGCTAAGATACTTCTTCTTCCTGTTATGAACAGGCTCGCCCGCCGACTCCCGTCTCATCACCTTACCTCGCGACTTCTCACTCCACCGAGAAGCATGCTGGGCAGCATGCCACAGACACGCTCCGCCAAAGCGATCCTCAGCCATCAAGACCGCACCGCCAACGAACCCCGGGAGAAGGAGTTGCACACTGCCACGCTGACCAAGGTGACGCCCGTCAACGACCGTATCAAGCGCTTCGTATTCGAAATCAAGGACAAGAACGGCTTCAACGTATGACGGAATCCATCTCGCCCGCAACACATGCGCTGATGGACAAGTCAGTTCCTCCCTGGCCAATGGCTTGATGTCTTTGTGCCTGATGTAGAAAAGGCAGGCGGCTTTTCTATTACCTCTTCGCCTTCCGAGGCCTTGCCACGAGCGGACCCTGAGCACAAACCATACTTTGAGTTGGCGGTGCAGAAGAGCCCAGACAACCCTCCAGCAGCATGGTTGTGGAAGCCAGCCGAGGAAATCATTGGGGGCGAGGTCAAGGTGCGGGTGGGCGGAAGCTTTGTATGGCCACCGCCGTGCCTTGACATGAAGAAGATCAAGCGCGCCATCTTCATTGCCGGCGGAGTGGGCATCAAGTAAGTCGCAACTACCCCACACGGATCAGCTGCGCGTCTTCGGAGACTAATTCGTATGCACAAGCCCAATGATGTCAATGATGACCTATATAAACCAGAACTATCCCAACCTCGAAGTGCGCTTCCTATATTCGACAAAGGTGCCATCGCGCGAAACAGATCCCAGTGAAGTGCTGTTCCTCCAGGACGTGCTCGATCTCTTCCGCATACCCCGATTCAAGGTGACCAAAGATCGACTTGAACTCTTCTTCACGGGCACATGGGATGGGTCTGAAATGGGCACCAATGAAGGGGACCTGATACACCCGCTAATGTCTCTGACGCTGCCGCAAATTGACTCTGCCACGGAAGTGCCCGTGTGCGCATGGACGCACCGCATCGACGACATAGCTCTGTCAAGCGCAGTAGGCAACCGGAAGGAGGCGCAATCGACCGTCTTCTATGTGTGTGGACCGCCTGCCATGGCGGACGAGATGGTGGAGTTTATCAAAGGACAGGAGAATGTGGATCCGCAGAGGGTGTTGTGCGAGAAATGGTGGTGATGGAGTGGGATTAGAATGGATCAAAGCAATGATAGTGATAGGGCGGCATGTGGGAATTGTGGGGAAGGCGATCGGGACTTGGGGAGTTTGCATGCGCAGTGGTTCCCATCGCGGCAAGCGCTATTGTATGTACGATGCTCACACCATTAACTGTATTTTACGCGCCCACAAAGGCCGCAAAATCGTCATGGCTCGTGATGGACGGGTAGGGTGCTCCACCTTGCAAAGCTTATTGCGCAACCCTGATTGCGCATTTTGCTCTGGGCTCGACGGAGAGGCTGGGGTGGCCGTGTGCGCGCATGGTGTAGTACACAGATAAGTATATGCCTTGTGGCGGCACAGCAAGCGATCGCTTATATCAAGTAGTGTATGCAGTGCAACCCCGCGGTCAAGTGCTCGAGTTCATCCGTCCTGTTATCGCTTGGGGTGAGATTGCCAGAGCCCAAAACGTCGCTATTAACCCACATTGTACGGTTGTGAGGGCAGGGATTAGCGCAAGGGACACGCCCTCTAGCTCCCGCTGACGCTGCCGTCCTGCACGCCTGATTCGCCATCACACTTTACGAGCTGTGTGATCGCGCAGCATGCGTGTGCCACTCAGCGCCTGCCATGGCTCTTTCGCCCCTCAGCTCACTACCGCCATCGGCTAGAATGGGGCCTTGGACGCCTGTTAAGAACATTCCTCGCCCCGGACACCTGGGAGCTGATGCTGATGGCTTGACTGTGCGCCCGCGACTCGACCATCGCCGTCCACCAAGTACCACCACCAGAGACGAGCCCTAGCAGTCTCTCGTCCCCAGCACCCGGTTGCGACGCCATTGCACCACCATACCCGTCTGCGCATTCGAGCTTTATCCTCCCCCACACCCGTCGTCATCCGTCCCCAGGGCCCTGCTTGGTTCGCCAACCCCACCCCGCCGCCATGGGCTTTTTTATATCGCGAACATGGCGACTGCCATCAATCATCTGGTTCCTCATGGTCTTCGAGCTGCCCTTTACCGTCGCCAACCTTGCGCTCTTCGGCATTGCCTCACCCAACCTATATCGCACCATCCTGTGGAAAGAGGGCGGACAGAGAGGCTTCAATTCGGACCCCAGCACCGTTCTCTACTCGTATGCCAACTACCGGCCCGTAGAGACACCTCTCGTATGGAGCAGCTTGTGAGTGCTCGGACCCATCTTTACATCGCCAGCGTCGTCTAACAATATTCCAGCAACACACAATATCATCTTGTCATTGGCGTTGTGTGTACCTTTTTCTGGCTTGTCAAGGTGACCCTATGGCTCCTCAAAGTTCTATACCCGATCCTGTCGCTTCCCCTCCACATCGCCCTCGCCTGTCTATGGGCATACGGAATCCATGTTCAAACTGCTCCTGACACCATTGATCCACAACGCGTGAACAACGGACCACCGTGGTACATTACAAAGAACTGCGATATTGTCGAAGACAAGAACATCAGAAGCTACTGCATGCAAGCAAAGAGCAGTTTTGCTGTTAGTATCATTATGCTGTACGTATCCTTACACTTGTAAACAGATGGCAAATCTAACGCAAATCAGAGCAATTTATTGTGTGTTTATCATCCTGTCTGTCTGGTCTTTAATCCCCACCGCTGCTCAAAAAGAAGCACATGCCGTTAGGAAGGCGGAAAAGAAGGCCGAGAAGGAGAAGTGGGAATCTTCACCCTACGACAACGAAATGACAGCCGAAGAACAATGGCAACACATGTGGGAACTGCAGCAATTACCCCGTACTCCCGGCACAATTGGCGGCATGAAGTCACCCATGACGCCACGCACTCAAGCCTTTAACAACCTGGGTGGTGAAGAGGCTGGACATGGTGGTTTTTATCCGCCTACAGGGCAGCATGGATGGTACGGCCCACCACAGCACGGTGGTGTGCCGGTGGAGACCGTCAGTCCAGTAATGGAACATGATGAGTATCCATACGCCCATGACAATAGGGGGAAGTCCATGGGATGGGGTGGTAACGCGTACTGAGTAACGAGTACCTTTGTCAAAGTATTTTCTTGTGTTATATTTTGGGACACGGCGTTTGAGCGTGTGCACTTTTGAGATACCACCGGGGGCTTCGTCTTCACTCATTACTGGAATATGAGGGGCACAGAGGTAAAGGATTTAAAAAGAGAATCCGAGATTGTTCTCAGAATGTTTAATTGAATGATTATATCATTGTCTTTGCAGAACACTGTGTCGTCGCCATACGTTTGGTGTGACAAAGAACATGTGACACCGCGCGAACGCATATGTACATGCGATTGCGCTACACCTGATGCAGTGCTACTGCACTTGTGCTCCACATATCAAACCTCGCATTTCCTCCGGACATAGTGCCATCAACCTACCACCTCACTAACATTGCCTTTCATGTCTGCCAGCCAAGGGAACCATATCGTCTGTGTGGGTGCTGTCTACATAGATACCATCCTGACGTAAGTATCAGCTTCCCGGTTTGGCGTGTTTGTAGTAGCAGTCGGCTGAAACAAGAGTGCAGTGTCCCGCACTTTCCAATTGAAGATGAGAAGTTGCGCGCTAAAAGCATCACGCGAAGAAGAGGTGGGAACACGGCAAATAGTTTGGAGGTGCTGTCACAACTGCTAGAGCACGATAAAGCACCTGCAAATCCGCCAATTTCGACAAACTTGCATCTGATAGCAGTACTTCCGAGCGAGCAATCTGCAGCCTCCCAATTCATCTTGGAATCTCTTTCAGGCGTGAATATATCTGAGTGTAGTTTATTCCGAACAGACCACCAGGAAGCCGCTTCCAGCTACATCATCCAAAGTGGAGCAAAGCGCTCGAGAACTATTGTCAGTATCAACGAGCTTCAAGAGATGCAGGCCTCTGAATTCTGTCAAAAAGTTCAGGAATTTGCCAAAATGAATGCGGGGCAGGTTTGGGAAAAAGCTTGGTTTCATTTCGAGGGCCGAATTCCAGAGGTTACACATTCCTGTGTCAAGTTCCTGCGCAGAGACTTCCCCCACTTCAGAATAAGCGTGGAGTGCGAGAAGCCTGAGCGCACAGAAATGGCAGAGGTCGCAAAGCTCGCCGATGTGGTATTCTATTCGAAGCTTTGGGCAGAAAAGGACGGATTCAGAGATGCGAGGAGCTTTCTTGAAGCACAGCGCGCAGACAAGCAGGATGGTGCAATACTTTGCTGCACATGGGGTTCCGGAGGTGCCATGGCAGTCAAAAAAGGAACTGACGAGCCTTGGGCGGATGCTAAGGCATGGCAACCGCAGAAAGATGAGTCCATTGAGGTTGTCGATACGATTGGTGCTGGAGACACTTTTATCGCTGGAATGCTCTTCGCTCTTAACAATCATGATGAATGGGCCTTACAGCGTAAATTGGAATTCGCAAACGAACTTGCTGGCCGCAAGGTCTTACAGGAAGGCTTTGTCAATCTGGGCGTCAAGATGTGGTAGATGGGCAGCCTTTGACGCTTCAGTTCAGCTCAGACAACCTTGCATTGGCTTTCTGGACGCAACTTGGCATGTCCCAAGACTTTCCAATGGCTACTTTGAGCGGTTCTAAATCTTACAGTGCCATTGGCCACTTCTTTCAACCCAGATCGACATCACAAGCGCGGGACGAGCCTCCCGGCGCAGTTTCCAGCATGTTGGTGTTACATAGCTAGCCTTGGAAGTAGTATTCGACTTTGTGGCGCCTTTACCCGGCATGTTCCTTTTAATAGATCGTTTGTACCGGAAGACAAAGGATGCGCTAGTTTTGGTGTTGCAGGAGCTAGTAATTGCAGCTGTGGGGATTAATCGCTGGTAGTGATTCAGCGAGACGACACCCCCAAAGTTTCGTACACGGCGGAAATGAGCGCATTAGGGGGAATAGTTGGTACGGGCTGAAGCGCTATCAGAATTCTGGTAACATGAGCTGAACCTGCGGAGTTGTTTAGGCTCAGGTTAGCGAGTTGAGACTGAGAGCCAATGAGTATGTTGGTGGGGACTGGGTCAAGCTGACGAGCATTAGGCGGCGTCTGCTAAGGACTTGGAGGCACTGTACGTCGGACCTTAGTACCAGTCTGGGACTTTCTAGTATCATATGATGAAATCAGTGTTGGTATCTACGTTTTGGGTAGTCAAGATCATTACTGTGCAACACATGGGACAAACTACTCGCCGACACATACTGGTTTCGCTATTAGTGCGGCTCCCCGCATCCGCAACAGCACCTCGCGTCTACACTTAAACAAGATCACCATTCGCTCCTACATTAGTGAGTACACGTCAAAAAGCAACCGAACTTAGTATAAAAATTGAGACATTGCGAATGTAAAGTTGGATTTTTTTAACATACAGAATGCGAAGACTCTACGTCGTACCTATACTGATCTTTTTATTAGCCATCCAAACCTGCGGAGCAACGACTACTTATCCCCAATACGAACAAGAGGTTCTTTTATTGCTTTACTGTTTGGATGTTCCTGTTGGCTAAGAACTTCCAGAACAACCCATTGGCAATGTATCCTTTCGGTCAACCATACCCAGATGCTTCCAATGATACACAGTCTTGGCAAAATGAACTTTGGATGAAGATTCAGCGTGATGCTCATGAGGATGAGATTGACTTGACTGTTCTTCCATTTGCCAAGGAAGCTATTGCCAGTATTGCAGAACTGGCTGTGAAGCAAATCGACACTAAGCAGTTTGGGTTTCAAGGAGCGAAAAGGATTGATGTGCATACACAGTGAGTTGTGTCCTCTTCTAAAACCGGTAAATGATCTGGAGAAGATGAACTAAAATGGGAAATATGTCTTTAGTCCCATACCAGACTGGTTCCGAGAACTGGAGTTGAATGCAGCAGGCCGTGCGACACCCTCTTGGACTGTGCAAGACCACCTGAAGTTTATGGATCAATATCAGATAGTGCACTCGGTTCTTTGCGTCTCCACACCCCAGGCAAATGCATTCTTGACTGAGACAGATGAAGAATCGAGGAAGAAGAAGACGCTCGCGCTGGCTAGACTACTGAACTGTTTCACTGCGGAACTGTGCAGGATATACCCTGAGCGATTCAGTTGGATGGCCATCATGCCACTACCACATGTCCAAGAGTCAATCACAGAGTTGAAAAGAATGTTCTCAATGAAAGGACAAGAGCCCATCGGCGTCGGCGTACTTACTAACCACGAGGGCCTGTACCCCGGCGATGCAACCTTCAACCCGCTATGGGCCTTTTTACAGAAAAGAGCAGATGAAGAAGGAAGGAGAGAAGTCATCTTCGTCCACCCCACCGAACCCATCATCAAACTCGACGACGGACGCTTGATAAACTCTCGACCCTGTAAGCCATCCCTTCCTTCCTCTCCACCCCCACAACGAAAAAAAAAATCAGCCAAACAAGCCAGTACTAAACTAACAAAAACCGTCAACACCAAATAGCACCCCTCCGCTCCGGCCTCGGCGAATTCTACTTCGAAACCGCCCGCGCAATCTCCAGCCTCACCGCCGCCTCCACCATCCTCACCCACCCGCACCTCCACTGGCGCATCTCCCACGGCGCAGGCGCCTTCCCAGACATATCCTCCCGCTTCCTCCTCGGCTTCCCCGCCATCGCCTCCGCCTCCCGCCAAATCTACAAGACTCGCTTTTGGTATGACAGTGCTGGGCCCGTGTGGCCGAGTCAGATTAAAGGGTTGACGGAGGGCATGCAGGTGCCCGTGAGTCAGATGGTGTTTGGTACGGATTATCCGTATGGTATCGGGTTTTGGGATGTTGGGGAGAATATCGGGGGGTTGGCGAGGGTGGAGTGGTTGGGGGAGGGGGAGAGGGAGGGTGTGTTTTGGGGGAATGCGAGGGAGTTGTGGGAGGGGAGGATTTGGGAGGGTGGGGTGTGAGAGGGGGGATGGGGAAGATGGGTGTTGAATCAGGATGTTGAGTTCGGATCATGACTTGATTGTTTGTATCTGTTCGGCATACAGAGTATCAGATTATTTTTCTTGGAAAAGAATGGCTGGCCGCATCTCAAACTGCCGGAATTGGGTATCAAATAAAGAGGTTGGATCATGTGTATGTATCGATTTGATGTCCGGGACTTTGCTAGGATGGCTGCCAGAGTTATTCTCCTAAACCTTGCTCAAAGCACGTGACTCTGATTTTCGTCCTAATTGTATTCAGATACCGACAATTTTCAAAAGTATAGTGCCTAGTTGAACAATTCCGTGATAGTATCTTTTAAGTCACTTAACGTTGGAAGCTTCGGTTAGCTGCGGTTGGGTTACTAGCGTGCGGAAGCGGCTATCGTCAAGTTCTCTTCATGACCCCACTGTGACATCCGCCACACTCACAACCAACACCACTACGCCTTGGTATACCAAGTCGACACCGCAGTGCTTCTCATCATGTGAGGAAATCTTATAAATCAATAACAAAACCCACAAATGCGTAAAGCCGAGAAAGCAGGGCGAAGCGCCTAATAAGTCCTAATGCGGGGAGTGCTGGATATTCGACCACGCCGAAGCGTGGAGACAACTATAGGTATAAACAATTTCCACATACTCGATAGTATTATGCACCCCACGACATCGGAGCCTAGCTAATATATCCACGCAGGAACAGGGTACATGTCGCAAGATTTTTTTTTTCTGGGAGGCGTCGGGCGCGATGGGCCGAAACCTGCGCGACGAACCGGGGTATCGATTCGAACATCGCCAAGGCAAGACATGAAAGAGAAAGTCAAGACGAAACAAGAGCTTATCAGTCGTCATGATCCGATGGAATCTGTACTCGATCCGATCTGCCAACCGAGACCAATTGCCATGATCTCAACTTGTCGTATTGTTCGGCAAACGTCGATGGGATGACGTTGATGACAAAAGCCCACAACATCGGTTGATTTCCAACCAACGCACACCCTACCAACTGCCTGAGCATAGACATCTCCGACCCTGATTCCTAATACTGCCCCCAGATGATTGGCGAGGCTGCCTTGCATAAGGCTGGTACGAAGAGTTTTGCTCCACCACTGCTAGCGCGAATTGCGTGATCGCACGTCTTCACCCCCAGCTGTGGCATTTTGCGGAGATGGTTACAAAGCGGTTTCCGATGGCGGAGCTGAATATAATTCTCCAGCCCTGCTTGCCTTCCTTCCTCCAACATCCAGAACGCGACGCTTGGTAACAGGATTTTCTTTTGGGAAGCCTTTGTTAGATACCAATTCATAAAGACTATCCACTTCTGGCTTCTCTGCACGTGCCTCTATCGTTAGAATCCCGCCACACGTCGTCTTCGAAATGTCGTCACCAGTCTTCAGCAATGTCGAAACGTACAAGCCCGCCACATTCCGTGAGGAGTCTGGTTATGCTTCAGCCGAGTCGAGCCAGGACGGTCTGCAAGAGATCTTCTTCACTAGACCTCACTTGAAGTTTATCAATGCTCAGCTGGCTAAGCTCGAGCCTCAGGGTGAGTGACGGTCTTTCATCTCGTCCAAAGTTCGTCCGGCTAACATTGGACTAGACATCCTCCGATGGTGCATTACATCTCTACCTGGGCTTTTCCAGACTACTGCTTTTGGTCTCACTGGCTTAGTCACTGTGGACATGCTCTCAAAGCTCGACGGACCCCTGAAGCACAACATTGATCTGATTTTCTTGGACACTCTTTACCACTTCGATGAGACATACGCTTTGGTTGACCGTGTCCGAAGACGATATGGAACCCCGGTCCATGTTTACAAGCCTGCTGGTTGCGACAACGTCAACGACTTTACCGCCAAGCACGGAGATAAACTGTGGGAGACCAACGATGAGCTCTATGACTATGTCGCCAAGGTCGAGCCTGCGGAGCGTGCCTACTCTGAGCTTCAAGTCAAGGCTGTCTTGACAGGTCGTCGCCGCAGCCAGGGTGGAAAGCGTGGCGACCTGGACATTGTCGAGGTTGACGAGGCTGGACTTATCAAGATCAACCCCTTGGCCAACTGGACATTTGCTCAAGTTAAGGAATACGTTGATGCAAACGACGTGCCTTACAACGAGCTCCTCAACAAGGGTTACAAGAGCGTTGGTGACTGGCACTCAACACAACCCGTTGCTGCTGGAGAGGATGAGCGATCAGGAAGGTGGAAGGGCAAGAACAAGTCCGAGTGTGGTATCCACAACCCCAAGTCACGGTATGCTCAGTTTCTTCAAGAGCAGGAGATGAAGCGACAGAACGAGGATCTTGCCAACAAGCTGCAACAAGTCTCGTTGGCAGTCTAATGTTCCGATCGAGAGCGTTCGTATTTTCGTTTGTTGTACAAATCTGCATTAGCATGGGCGTTTGGGTTTTCTGGGTTTAGCATACCTAGCATAGTATGGTTTAGCTGGGGTAGTCTGGAGCACCCCGATTTTACGGCATCCAGATCCGATTGCATGCAATTGGAGCCGAGATATGACCGGTGTAGGAGCCGACAGAGCTCTTTTACGAATCAGACGAGTTTATATTTATGATTACTACCATGCTACTGTTTGACTATGACACAAGTAAGGAAGTGGCTTGAAAAAAGAGCGTGGGGGGAATACGGATGCTGCATATCAGTGGACCCTGTAACCCTCCGCCCCAGGTGCGCGCGGCCTGTCATTCTCGTAGAGCGACATGCCCGAAGTTGAGACCGAAGCTACGCGGGCCCTCTTTGGCTCCGCTCTCACGTCACTCCCATTACTTTACGCAGTGGGAACAGTCAGTGTGATAGGCTCATACATCGCGCGAAATTGCGCAATCGGTTCCAAAATCTGCCGACCCATACAAAACACCCGCTTTGAAGCCTAGTCTCTGCAGCAGAGAATTTCCAAGAGAGGCCAAGGTCAACAAACGGGGAGCGAGGAGCCTGAAGTAGCCGTGGTTTGTAGAATAAAAAGCTCATGGTGCCCCCCGTCGCCGCTGTTTCTGCTCGTCAGTCGCGCAAATCGTTCTTTTGAGTGACCCCCAAGAGTCCCAAGATAATCAATAACCCTTTGGTTCGACATAGTCAGGAACGACTCCAGATCTTGTCGCATTTGACTATCCTGCCAAATTTCTGCTTCAGGATTATTCCTTTCCCCCCTTCACACATCTCCTGTGGAAATGGCAAACACACCCCATGGTTAGTCGCTGCGCAAATTTCCTGCTGGACCAAAAAAAAAGTTGCAATAGATGCTGACCGGGCGCGTTCACTACAGGCGGCGTCCTCAAGGACCTGATCGCGCGCGATGCGCCTAGGCGCAAGGAGCTTTTCGACGAGGCTGAGAAGCTTCCCGCGGTTGTTCTGACCGAGAGGCAACTTTGCGACTTGGAACTCATCCTGAACGGAGGTTTTTCTCCATTGGAGGGTAAGTCGTCATTGTTTCGCGGGGCAACATGCGAGGGGCAATGCAACATTGCCCCTCGTGTTTGCCCTGTTTGCACCACCAGCACGGAACGGTACCTGACAGCACTATGCAGGTTTCATGAACCAGAAGGACTACGATGGCGTCGTGGCCAACAACCGTCTCGCTGACGGCAACCTCTTCTCCATTCCCATCTGCCTCGATGTTTCAAAGGAGACCATCGATGAGGTCGGCCTCAAGCAGGGCGCCCGCATTGCCCTCCGCGATTTCCGCGACGACCGCAACCTTGCCATCCTCACTGTTGACGATGTATACCAGCCAGACAAGGAGAAGGAGGCTAGGGAGGTTTTCGACAAGGACAACGACGTAGCCCACCCCGCCATCAAGTACCTCTACGAGACAGTCAAGGAGTACTATGTTGGTGGTAAGGTCGAGGCCATCGACCGCCTGGAGCACTACGACTATGTCGGTCTCCGCTACACACCTGCAGAGCTGCGTCTGCACTTTGACAAGCTTGGATGGTCCAAGGTTGTTGCTTTCCAGACGAGGAATCCCATGCACCGCGCTCACCGTGAGCTGACTGTCCGCGCTGCTCGTGCCCGCCAGGCCAATGTCCTCATCCACCCTGTCGTTGGTCTGACCAAGCCTGGTGACATTGACCACTTCACCCGTGTCCGTGTCTACCAGGCGCTCATGCCCCGCTACCCCAACGGCATGGCTGTGCTTGCTCTTCTGCCCCTTGCTATGCGTATGGCTGGTCCCCGTGAGGCTATCTGGCACGCCATCATCCGCAAGAACCACGGTGCTACTCACTTCATTGTTGGTCGTGACCACGCTGGCCCTGGCAAGAACTCCAAGGGCGTTGACTTCTACGGCCCATACGATGCCCAGGACGCTGTTGAGAAGTACAGGGACGAGCTCGGTATCGAGGTTGTTCCTTTCCTCCAGATGACCTACCTCCCTGACTCGGATGAGTACAAGCCCAAGAACGAGGTTGAGCAGGGTATCAAGACTCTTGACATCTCTGGAACTGGTACGTCCTTATGACTTTTGTGTATGGAACGCAAATGACTGACTGAACATACAGAACTCCGCAAGCGTCTCCGAACCGGTCAGGAGATTCCCGAGTGGTTCTCCTACCCAGAGGTTGTCCGTGTGCTCCGCGAGTCTCACCCTCCCCGTAGCCAACAGGGTTTCACCGTCTTCTTGACAGGCTACCAAAACTCCGGCAAGGACGCCATTGCCCGCGCCCTCAACGTAACTCTCAACCAACAAGGTGGCCGCTCCGTCTCCCTCCTCCTCGGTGAAACCATCCGCAGCGAGCTCTCCAGCGAACTCGGATTCAGCCGATCCGACCGCGACAAGAACATTGCTCGCATCGCTTTCGTAGCTTCCGAGCTCACCAAGGCCGGCGCCGCTGCCATCGTCGCCCCCATTGCTCCCTTTGAGGCTTCAAGACAGGCGGCCCGCCAGACAGTCGAGAAGTACGGCTCTTTCTACCTCATCCATGTTGCCACTCCTCTCGAGCACGCTGAGAAGAACGACAAGCGCGGTATCTATGCCAAGGCGCGCGCTGGTGAAATCAAGGGCTTCACTGGTGTCGACGACCCGTACGAGGTCCCCTCCAAGCCTGACCTTACTGTCGATCTCTCAGTCAGCAACGTCAGGACAGCAGTCCACCAGATTGTCCTGCTGTTAGAGAGCGAAGGTCTCTTGACTCAGTTGTAAAGAAAAGGGACTGAGAGAAGAAAAAAAAGTAAAAGCGGCGACCCTTCCTTTTTTTCTGTTTTTTTTTGGCAACTTTGGAAATATATGAGCGATGATGGGTCCATTTTTTAACGACTCTTTTAACGAACCTTTTTTGTTTTACGAGCTTTGAGACCCCCCTTTTTGAGAAGAGGGGTCATGGATGCGTAGATTAGACGCATGCAAGATGGATGATATAAACTAGACTTGAGGTTTAGAAGTATTGATCAATATTGGATTGGTTTTGATGGCAAAAGATGATTGTGTCTTGAACATGCTTGCTTGAATGTGTTTCTCCTCAAGACTATTCGTCTCTTTTATCTAAAATATAGGTACAGTGATATACATGAATTTCACCTTCACACAGCACGAGCCATCTTCTCCTTCGCCTCCTTCTCCCTCTTCCGCGCCTCCCTCTCCGCCCCACGCATAGCCCTCAAATCCGGCGGCTTCTCAATCCCGAGCCTTGTCCTCAACTCATCAATATCCGTCTCAAGCTCCTCCTCCCAATAAACATTAATCACATCGCCACTCAACGCGCCATTCCTTGCCGCCCACGGCCCATACACATCCCAGAAGCGGCGCCACTCTGCTTTCTTCAGCGTAAACGCACTAAACACTGCGAGCCCCGTCATCGGCAGACCCGTATTCGCGAATTCAAACGCTTTAAGTGCTACTTCGCCCTCGCGGAAGACAGGGAGACCTACAAGCGCGTGGTAGAAATCGTGGCACTCGCGGTACCGCTGCATGACGTACGCGCATTCCTCATCGTCAATGTATTGCACCGGCGCCCGTGTATCAGGTGAGACGCCCTCACGGTCCAGCCACGCGGCATACGCATACCCCAGTGTATTCTGCGGTAGCTTTCTTAGCCGCGGTATATCGAGGGATGTGGAAGTTAGGCGTGGTCGATCGCGTAGGATGCGGCGGCCGGTGGGGTGTAGGAGCATGCGATCGCGGAGTTTGTAGATGAAGTAGGGTTGGGCGGTTGCTTCGCCGAAGGAGGCGATGAGATCTGAGGATTGTTTGTAAGTAGTTGAGATGAGACGTGTGAATTAGGAATAAGTACCTCCTCGTCGTGGATCGAGAAAACTCCCGATTCCGGAGCCGAGGACAAGACTGAGGCGCTCGAGGCGTGTCAATGGGATGTGGCCCTTGTAGTTTGGTGGAGGGCGGTTGAGGACGGAGAAGGTGCGGAGAGATTGGACATGTTGGGATGGGGCTTGGGGAATTGATCGCGCGGTCAGCTTCGGTAGCTGCTTTATTCGTACATGTCGAGCCATTGGGACGTCGCCAATATGTTGGCAATGGCTATTGTCTTTGGAGCTTTGAATGTAGCAGAGGTATGACATGATGTAGGGTCTTATCGATAGGGTGCGCCACAGGCACCAGCCACATCAATCACGCTATTTATGACTTCTTTGCGACTCATCGGTGCTTGAAAACACTTCTACAACAAACATTTCCTTTTCGCCTGGACTGGCTTAAAATAGCATTCATCAATTACTAGAGCATTCGTTCGAGTAATCTCTCTTCAATTTAGCTCGTCAACCTCAGAGAGATAAGGCGCCGTAACTTTTTTCCAAGGCAAATAAAGAAAGTACTTCAGTGACTGAAGTAACTGGGGATATTGATACCAGACCCATTCTTTCCGGAAAAATCGGTGTCAAATTCAACAAAACAATATATCTTCAGACAATCATGGCGGCAGCTCTCGATCCCGGCACCAATCACACCGATTTCATCTCATGGGCAAAGACCAACGGTGTTGAAATCAATGGCATTGCTCCAGCCCGCTTCGTCGGCCGAGGAATGGGCATCGTAGCCGCTCAAGACATCAAAGTCAGTGCTCTTTTTGAAATCAAGCCAAAGTGATGCTAAATCATCAAGAAAGGAGACAAGCTAGTCCACGTCTCCAACAAATCTCTAGTCCATGTCGCCCTCCCCAGCATCCACAGTCTCAAACTCCCAGACACCATCACCGTGCACGGCAAACTCGCCCTAGCCCTCGCTCTTTGGTACACCGGCCGCAAAGATCACGACTACACCCTCTGGCACAACGTATGGCCCACATCCTCGGATTTCAAGTCCACGATGCCACTCTACTACCCCCTTCCTTTACAATCCCTTCTGCCGCCCGCAGCCCGCACCCTCCTAACCAAACAGCTCCAAAACCTCGAGCGAGACTGGACTAGCATCGCACCGCACAATCCAGGTATTACGAAGGAAACCTACACCTACACCTGGCTCATCGTCAACACCCGAACCTTCTACTGGTCCTACCCAGACCTCCCCAACGCCTCCCCGCTCCTCCCCAAACGCCGCGCAAAACTCACCGCAGACGACTGCTACTGCATGTGCCCTTTTACCGACTACTTCAATCACTCCGATTCAGGCTGCGACCCGCAGATGTCACCAAGCGGTTACACAGTAACTGCCGACCGCGCGTACGCCGCTGGCGAAGAAGTCTTCGTAACGTACGGCCCGCACACGAACGATTTCCTACTCACGGAATACGGATTTATTCTCCGAGAGAAGAATCGACATGATGGCGTTCCCCTTGATTCACTGCTACTGCCACTGCTGGATCGAGATCAGGTTGCTGCGCTAAAGGAAGATGGATTTTATGCTAATTACACGCTGTTTGGCGAGGAAAAGGAGGAGAGAGTGTGTTATCGGACGCAGGCTGTGCTGAGGCTGCTTGTGCTGGATGCGAAGAGGTATGCGGCGTTTGTTAGTGGGGATGATGATGGGGCGAGGGATCAGGCAAGGTTGAATGAGTATTTGGCGGGTGTGCTGACGAAATACTCGCGCAAGATTGTGGATATTATCGAGGAGGTTGAGGGGCTTGATCTCAGCAAGGACGCGGAACAGGCTGAAGAAGGGGTTGTCGAGGGCCAAAGAGAGACGCTTGTAAAGAGGTGGAAGCAGATACGAGATATTGTCAACAGCGGGATTCGATTTCTCGAAACATAGCGCTCATTCACACTTCACGCAAACAATCAAAAGTTAAATCACAGCACACGACCTTCCAGGAAATATGTTTGAAAGAGTCATCTGTTTCATAATCATCTGTTATGCAAACCAAAAACGTCTACTAAATAGCCCCAATTGACCTTTTACGCTTTCAATACGCGAAACTAAAACACTCACAGAGCAATAGCTCACGCTACACTACCCACAACCAGAGCTGCAACGCCCTCCTCCTCACTTCTTACATCAATCTTCATCGTCACACCAGTCTTTGCACTAAACGCCATTCGTACCATGGCTGCAACCTTACCACCTGTGATGGTCTTGCCGTACAGCTTGAGCGTATGTGTTGATGTTGAGAGGGCGACGTCGGTGCCTTCCAATGGCTGGAGGGACAGCGTCTTGGTGAGTTGTTCGGTAGCATCTGCTCTTTGTTAGTAAAGTGACATATTGAGAATTCACAAAAAACATACCTGCTATGCTCTTCATGTTGCCAAGCTGCAGAGTCTCGGTTGCTGTGTCATTGTTCGACTGCTCCCATACATTGTCGAAGCTGCCAGCATACGCAGGTACAACGTAATCGGCGCCGGTGAGGTAAAGATCTTCGACCGAGTATTCGTCTGGGTAGCCATCTCCCTCTTCTGGCTCGTTTGTGCTTGGGTCGATCTCCTTGCTTGTGAACTTGAGTACGTTGGTGAAGCTTGCTGCAATGAATTGCGACTCGGTCTCGAGGCGCTTGAACGACACGTAAACAGTACCTGGCTCGTTTGTGGAAAGCTTTGGTGCCGGGATGACAAACTCCTCCTCTAGTTGAACATCGCCGTCGTCTTCGGGGGTAACAACCATCTCGACATCCAACAAGACTGTGTCTTCGAGGGTGTTCTTGATGTCGTACTGGATGACAACGTGGTCCTTGAAGATGTGCTTGATGGCCGTAACGACGTATTCGGTCTCTGATTCGGTGAGCTCGACAACATCGCTTGACTTGAGCACGCCTCCATGAGCCGCAAGTTCGGGAATCTTCTGCAGCTCGGCAGCGTACTTTTGCGCATTGTTGGCTGCGTTGGCGGCAGCGTCTGCTCCCGCTTTTGAAGGTTGCTTCGCAGCGCTGGGTGCCTTGAGTGTTGGGGTAGCGCCTTCGGTCTTTTTGGTGAGATCTGCGGCATCTGCTTGCTCGCGCGAGACAGTGGGGATCTTGGTGATGTCGAATGCAGTCTCAAAGGTGTCGCGGGAATCTGAGCTAACGTACATGGCCAGCTGGTGCTCGAGAACTGGTAGTGAGAACATGGAATCGTTGCGAATAAAGCTGATGGCCATGTCGTCATCCTCCTGGTCCATCAACCGGAGGTTCAGTGCAGCACGGTCTCGGACCTCGTCATCAACATCGTCAAGGCAGCGAGTGAGCAGAACGTGGACCGACTTCTTGATCTCAGGGTCCTTCTGACCAACACCAAACTTGGCGAGAGCAGAAGTTGCAGCAGCTCTGACAATAGCATTCTCCAAAACAACACGGTTGTAGATATAGCGGATGTACTTGGTAGGGTGAGGTGTCGAGGGGCCTTCGCGTCCGAGAACAAACAGAATCCGCACGGCAAGCTTGGTGAATTCGCAGTCCTCGATGAACTCGCAGAGAGTCGCAAGCGCATCCTCCTTGGCTTCTGGAACGAATCGAATAAGGTCCATGATTGCCTCTACAACTGCTCTCTTGAACTCGTAACCGCCTTCGTCGCGCAGGATGCCGCTAAGGAAAGCAAGGAATCCAGACTGCTTGGACTTGAACTTCAAAGCCAAAGTTCGGACAGCCTCGACAATGGTCACCTTGAACTCGTCTGTAATCTCAGCCATGAAGCCTGTGATTTGCTTCATCAGCCTATCTACCGACGATTCGTTGCCCGTCTTGAGGAGCGTTGTGATGGCAAAAGTCGCGATGCTGCGGTTCGAGTTGGTGATGAGCGACTCGATATCTTGGTTGCACGACCGGACGGCGTCAGGCTTGAAGGAAGCCATTTGTGACAGAATGCGGAGAGCAGCAAACTTGGTAACCGCGCGTGGAGATGTGAGGAAGAGCTGGAGAACGTGAACGGCCTGGACGAGCTCGGCGTCGGTAACATCGCGCATGTCGCAAATGGCCTTTGCAGCTTCGAAGTTGACCATCTCGGACTTGTGTCGCAGCCAGCCGTCGAGGAGCTGCATCATGGGCTAATGATATGGTCAGCAGGCTCATTGTATTACATGGAGAGTGTCGCACCTTTCGGAGATTTGGGTCCTCATCAGCCAGCTTAGCTGCCAGTCTTACAAGTAGGACGGTAGCAGCAGGGCTCTTGACAACACCAGCAGCCGAGTACTGCTGCACCATCTTGACCAGGCTCATCCTGTCGCCAGAGCGCATCTGGTATAGCAGGCCAATGGCATGGTACTGTGTCATGTAGTTTGTGCTGGCCTGGAGAGCGGTATGCGAGCTTCCTCCAAATCCACCCAAGAAGCCACCGCCCGATTTGCTTCCAGAGGCAGCCTCTGCGGCCTCAGACTGCCACCTCCTGACTACATCCTTTGCGACCGGGAGAAGGTGATATGAGGAGACGAGAGCAGCCGAGGCTACGGAAGGGTTTTTGTCGACAATGCACGTCTTGACCAGACGCTCAATGGCCTGGACAGTGGAAGCGTCAATGACACGGCAGAGGGCGCGGATGGCATTTGGGCGGTAGACGACGTCGCTGCCGACGGAGGTATCCTTCATAATCGACGAGGTAACCATGATGACATCGTCGGCGGAGCCAGCGAGCTCCTTGATGACGAGGTAGACCATCTGGCGGAGCGAGGCATCTTTGTTCTGGAACAGCTTGGAGATGCCAAAGAAGAGGGTTGTGGCTTCTTGCCGGCCCCAGCTCTCTCCGGTGAAGAGCAGAAGGGCCAGCTTGGTCAGGATTACTCTACATTTCCTGGGCGAGATGGGACTCTGGTTGAATACTCGTGCTGGAGTGCAACGTCAGCCTGTACTGCGCAACACTTCGCCAATGCTTGTGCATGCGATTGCAGGCGGCCCTACCTTCTTGGAACACAGATGTCTTGTCGATTTGCGCCACGCCGCCCGCATCCTCGTGCTTCTTGTCCATGGTGGTTGTGTGCAGCACCGCGTGCTAGCTTTCGTGGGCGTAGATGTATAAGCCTGTCCCGCTCTTCCTCCGCCTTTAACGTGGCCTCTGCGACGGGGGGAGATGTATTATGTGGCCGAGCGTCGCCCAGCAATTGCCGTGGTGGAAAGGAGGGGCGAGTGCAGGGCGATTATGGCGGCGTGGGCGTATAGTCGGGTAGTCGTGGTGAATTGGCGACGTTGTATGTAAAGATGGGCTTGACCGGGCGGGAGTGCAGGTGCAGGGATGTGGCCGCTGTGTGGGCTGCTGTTGCATGCCTCGAGCTGCTTGGCACCCGGACTCTGCAACTGCATGCGGTCCGGGTATTCAAGGCTCTGACTACGATAACTTTTTGCCCAACATTCTCGCTCTTACGTTCCTTTTCCTTTCCTTTCCTCTCCCTCACATAAGATATAATAAAACGATACAATGGCCGCCTCAATACCACGCACACGCTGTCTCGCAGCATTAAAAGCAGTCCCACGCTCAACAGTACCGCTGAGATCGTTCGCCACAACCTCCGATGCGCCACAACCACCAGCCTCAGAAACTCCCTCAAAACGCTCCCGGCCCGCGACCTCATTTAGCGATACTCTGAATGCCGGTCCTTCATTCGGCGACTTTGTAAACCCTAATGCGCCCCTCTCCCCCGCCGAAGCATACGAGATCAAAACCGTCCAAGTCGGCCCAGAGGGGCGCAAAAAGACAATCACACGACTACCCGAGTGGCTGCGAACACCAATCCCCTCCAACGCCAACCAAAACTACAAGCAAATCAAAAAGGACCTGCGAGGCCTCAACCTAGCCACAGTGTGTGAGGAGGCAAGATGTCCAAACATTTCCGACTGCTGGGGCGGCAGCTCAAAGAGTGCGGCAACGGCAACCATTATGCTCATGGGCGACACATGCACGCGCGGATGTCGCTTTTGCGCCGTAAAGACATCCAAGGCACCACCACCACTGGATCCCCACGAGCCTGAGAACACAGCCGAAGCACTGCGGAGGTGGGGTCTGGGCTACGTTGTCATCACTGTCGTTGACCGCGATGATCTCGCAGACTCGGGTGCCCACCACATCGCCGAGACCATCATGAAGATCAAGCAAAAGAACCCCACGCAGCTCGTCGAGCTACTAGGCGGAGACTACGGCGGCAACCTGGAAATGGCCAAGGTCGTTGCGAGAAGCGGGGTGGACGTCTTTGCGCACAACATTGAAACCACGGAGCGCCTAACACCTTTTGTCCGCGACCGAAGAGCAAAGTTCAGGCAGAGTCTCGATGTGCTACGGTCAGCAAAGGAGGCTCAGCCCGAACTCATCACAAAGACAAGTATGATGTTGGGTCTTGGGGAAACAGACGAGGACGTCTGGCACGCCCTACGAGGTATGTAACACAAACTCCCACCAACCAACCCAACCAAAAAAGAAAGAGCCACACGAACTAACATGCCTGATTTAGAACTGCGCGCAAACGGCGTCGACGTTGTCACCTTCGGCCAATACATGCGTCCCACTAAGCGCCACCTCGCTGTCCACGAATACGTAACCCCCGACAAATTCGAACTCTGGCGCCAACGCGCCCTCGACATGGGCTTCCTCTACTGCGCCTCTGGTCCCCTGGTCCGCTCAAGTTACAAGGCTGGTGAGGCGTTTATCGAGAATGTGCTCAAGAAGCGGAGATTGGGTGCGTCGGCTGAGACCAAAGTCGCCGACTTGAATACGGCTGAGGAAGCTGGCAAGGCACTGTAATTTTTTGTATGAAAAAAGGGTAGTTTGTATTTTTTTTGTAGATTTAGATATTTTGGGGGGAGATATCCATGAAGTCAGGATCGCTTCAACTCGATGCTGCAACTTTTTTATGATTTGTACTATGTTCTTCTAAGGCAGTGTGAGATCTTAGTCAGGAAACGACCGAAGACACAAGATGTATTCGTATGCACTAATCAGTGTATCAAGGAGAAAAGTGTCGTTGATTCATATATGTACGTAGCCGCTGGGCTAATGTGAAGATAAACAATCATGCATCCAGCATGTCCAATGTTATGTACCCGCCCCCCGTTCCCCGTCTAGAGAAACCCCAGTAACCCAGACACCCAGTCTAAGCACCATGTAACTCCCCTCATATACAATCTAAGCACCATATGCCCCCCATCGTGTACAATCCAAAAGCGCTAATCAAGAACGAATGTGCAGGAGAAAGGAAACATGTAACGATTGACCGAACCACCATGCGGGTTCAACTCACTCCCCAGTTATCATCCGTGGAGGAGGACACCGCTCATCGCGCCTGCGCTGAGATCGGGGCAAAGAAAGCCCACGATCAAACCCGCCCTTAGTTGTTCGGGAACCCGGCCTTCAGGTTATCATACTTGCTCGTAGGGTAGCTGAGCAAGTTGGTCGATTGATCCAAGGCACCAATACCTCCAATGCCCTTAACAAACTGCCCTCAAAGTCAATACTAGAGTCTTGGAAAAAAAAGAGAAAAAAGAAGGACATACCGTAGATACCAAACTATCGTCACCCTTCTTATCACTCGAGCTCTCCCACCACATGCCGCCACCAAGTCCGTTGTCACGGATAAGCTGGGTCTTCTTGGCAATAATCTCAGGTGTGTCATAACTAATCATGAGCTTAGAGTTGGAATCATAGCTCCAGCTAGCTGTGATTTGGTCGTCAGTGTAGATTTGAGCGCCGGCCTGTGGCAGGACCTTGTAGTCGTAGACGCCTGTTTCCCAGGTGCCCTGTCCCACACCCTGGTAGGGCTTGCCTGGGCCGTCGGTGTTGGCAAATGAGCGGCCGTACAGTGGCATTCCGAGAATAATCTTGGAAGCTGGGACGCCGGCAGCGACGTAGTCATTGATAGCTTTAGTGGTACTGAATGGGGTGCTGTTTGAGTTGCTAACGGATGGTGCCCAGTTAGCGAGGTGTCCGGAGGTAGTGTCCCACGATCCGGCATAGTCATAGGCCATCTAATCATGTCAGCTACGTTGCTTCTCTTTGAGATAATCATACACATACCAGGTTCCAGAAGTCAAGGTACTGGTCCATCTGGCCGAGCTTCATAACGTTGTAGTGCGTGGGGCCTGCAGGAGATGCGATTGTTAGAAGAAGATGTTGGCCGTTAGCATTTTCGTTCGAGTAGGCTGTCAATGCCCGGCGCGTCTCCTGTAGGAGGAGAACCATGTCATTTGCTTGGGAATCGTTTGCTGGGTACTCCCAATCAATATCAAGGCCATCGAAACCCATATTTGCCAAGAGAGCAACAGCGCTGCTCGCAAACTTTGCTCGTCCCTGCGCAGTCGATGCAGGTGTCACGAAATGAGATGAATAGGTCCATCCTCCAATCGACAAAAGTACCTTAAGCTTGCGGTTGCGCTTCTTCTGGAGGAACAGCTGCTTCACGCATCCGTAGACATTGTTTCCAACATCATTCCAAGAATCATTTGGGTAGTGCTTGTCGGTGTCGGACCAAGAGTCGGTCAAAAAGACCTCACCCGTGTCCCGAACATCAGCAAATGCATACAGGACATGGGTTAACTCTTCAGCTGGAAGATCCTGTGGGTTGTAGTTGCGGCCATAGATAGCCTGCGGGGTTCATCAGTATGTAAATCTTCCGCTATTATGCTAGGGACAACGTACCCAATTGACAAAGTAAGCAACATTCTTGTAGCCCGACGTTGCAGAGTTCATGACGTTCTGCTCAGCCTGTGGAACTGGGCTGGCTTGAACAGACGTGAGGGAGTGGAATAGGGATGTCATTCCCAGAACCATGTTGGTGACGCGCATTGTAATGTCGCTAGTGGCGCGCTACGCCGTGTTACGTGGCTGTGGCGGAGGCTAGTGCAGGTACGGATGTGGCTTCGGTTCAGGACCGCAGTTCAAGGAAAAGTGGAGGGATGGGAGGCCTTGTCGAAGTGTTTCAAAAAAGGCGTTCAACCCTCGGAACTTATACAAGAAGGAAAGATATCGACTGACGGGCAAAAGGACACTACCGTCTAGTAAATGCGATAAGGAACGAAGAAGGTCAGTCGACCCTGCAAGGAACTAGAGATTGGTCAGAGGATACTACACAATCTCTCTAAAAGGAATGTGACAGTGACGAAGTGGAAGAAGATGGTGCAGAGATAGTAGACTTCAGGATAGATGGGTTACATATCCTCGTCCACGCGCCGACGGCATTGCATCGGCAGGGTCGTGAAGCTAATGTTCGCGCGTGGGTATTTCGCAGGATGCATTAGTCCCAATCCTAAGAACATATCCGATGGCCCAGAGCATAGGGAGAACGACGGATCAGGTAAAAACGGGTACAGTCTGGAGACAGATGAGTGCAGGTACCTTGTCCTCGGAGCGAGATATTAAGCGCCGAACGATCCTGCACTTAAGATAGCTCGCAGATACGATATAGCCGCCAATGGTTCTCTATTCTCAGTTGATAGAAGATAATTTTGCTCTTTGTTGTTTTGAAAATGTCGGCAAATCTTCTTAGTGTACAAGTCTCCCATCCACTGCACTAGCAGTGACATTATGGGAAGCTAGCGGCGCCTTTCTTGAAGGAGTTACTGGAAGATCCACGGGGTTCCAAGAGCCCAAAGGCGGCAACTTCCCGATGATGGATTTTCTGCATGGTGCGTACGTGAAACCTCCTACAATCTTCACGGCTTCGGTGCTGTGGCGGTGTGCAACGTCGAGATACGACACAGCACCAAGTTCAACAACGGCATCCAACTGGCTGCTACTCGCTTGCTCTGTAGGGGCTGCCTCACGGTCCCTATTGGCGGTGTGGTGAACCCTTGCTATCGGCACGCTCAAGTATGACCCTCCAGTTGAAAGTCATGTGAGATGATAAGACGTTGCGAAGCTTCCACTGGCTTGCTTCGTGAGGGTGGATGCTGTAGGAGCCAGGATGGATAGATGAGAACGCGCGCCACAAGCACAGTAACAGGAATAGTCCAACTTGGTGCCAGACAGGGTATTTTGACCAGGGCTGAAGAAGGTGGAGATGGGGACCCACATGAGCGCATCTCCCGCGCGCGTGGATATGTCAAGCCGTCAGATCATCTGATCGCGCCCGCCGGGCACTGATACTGCGAAGCGACGCTTGCGCTCGACGGGGATAGCATGAAGGCCGATGAAGATTATGCAAGCGTATCGCGGAGAGGAGCAGGTGGTTTGACCGTTAGGGCGGACGGTTAGCCACATTTAGCCGCGATGCAGGGCGAGAGACGAGAGACCGAAGTAGAAGGAATTCCGGCCGAGATGCAGCAAGTTCACAACTCTCCACACTCCAAGCTCTATTAGCGCGTCAAGTGAGCCGCCCACTCAAGGAGGATAGAGGCACGCGATGCTGTTTTTTGAGGTGCTTGCAGCGGAAGGAATGCCACGCTCCACGGCACGCGCTGAGGAAGCTTCGCCTTGACGAGGTTTTGCTGAGTCTTGCGAGGCATACGGAGACCTTGGCAGTTTGTTGCGGCTCGTGCTGTTGCATCCTATGAACAGATGGATAGCGGAGAGTGAAGAGAGACGGGTGTGCGAACAAGAGAGACAGTAGTACGTGACGACTTGTGTAACCCTCGGCCCGTGCACGCTCGGCTTCCATTCTACCCCGTTACTCCTTTCCTACTGTAGTAACCGTTGTGTTACATCGCAGTAACTACTCCCTTAGCCTACAGTCTCTAGTATTATCTGTGTTGTAATGCCAACCATGTGACTTGTCGGCTGAGTCAAACATGTTCTTCCAATGATTGATGCCCAACCTTATCTCGCTATCGTGAATGTATACTGCTTGCTTAGGCTTTATATCGAGCTTTGGTGTATTTCATTCTGTATGTCTCTCGCTCACTGATATCGCACATGGTCGGTTATGTTGCATCGCGATGATATTCTGCTCCACTCTGTTATCTCTACTCTGTTGTCTCCTTCATCTGTCTGCATCGACCAGTCGAGACGGCGTGTGTTATGGTGGATGCTGCTGAAGTAGGCATCACGGTATCGACTGGACAACTGATAAGAGACGTGTCCTGTCGAAGGACACTATAGAACTGTCTGTGGGGTATTACGAGGACACCTGACTCCCTACACACCTGACTTCAGAATGATTCGGTTTTCGCGTAATTTCGCCTACTGTACCCGATGTTGTGCAGCTCTTAGGTCACTTTTGCTCTGCCTAAGCCATCAGCCTTTGCATCAGGCTACCGATAGGTCCTATGGCTTTCTTGCCCAGCACTGCATCTCGAGTACCGTCTCTTTTTCTACACACCGCTTTTTCGATCCAGCCATCTTTGGTGATGCTCATAGCCACTGTCCGCCTGTCGGACCATGTGATGGTGATCTGTCTGACCGCAGCATCGGCCTCAATGTCCAGAATATGTGCGGCTCCATCCCCGTCTTCAGATGCCTCAATATCAGAACTGGCATCATCATCGCTCACAAATGCGTTCAGGACATTGCTGGTTGATGCAGTTGCCAAGTCCTCACTGTCCCGTCTTTGCTTCATGAGCCCTGTCTCTTTCCTCAACTTTCTTACAGCATCAGCTCGCATGTTCCAGCTCACAAGCTCTTTCCGCAGTAGACGTCCGAAGCGTACCAAGTCCTGCTCTGGATCATGTTCCTCATCTTTCCCGCTTCCCGGTAACCATTTGGCAGCTAACTGTTGGAGTGGTATGCATGGAGGAATGGTGTGCTTGTGGATGCTCAGAAGTTTCTTGTCTCCCTTGTCTCGGACGCTCAGCAGAACATGGTACGTATCAATGAATTTCTCGGCGACAGAAACATCAATGCTAACGCCGAGGATGTTGCCGTCATTGGCTGCATGCGGATCCGGATCTTTGACTCTGTAGGCAGTTACGCCAGCGCATGTACGATATACGTTTTCAAGATTGCGCTTTGATTGTTGCGTGATGATTTGCTGGGCCTTGTCGGAAGATTTGCTGCGTTCATCTCTGTTCTGAAGACGTGCTGCGAGGTGGGGTTGCGACAACAGGACTGACGACAGGTTCGCGCGCTGGGCTTGTAGTGTCGCTAGGCGAGTGTGAAGGTCACCAATTTCGTCGTCAAGCTGTTCGACTGTCTCCATTTTGGGTTTTGTGTATTAATGCTGGATATACAGTATACACCGTATGTGTAAGTGATGCGACGCTGTTCCACACGCGTCGACAGGTTCGGCGCGTTGGCACGTGAGTAGGTGTGGCGTTGGTAGGGGTCAAGTGGCATGAACCCCCGGCTCGCCTAGTGCTGCACCGCCGTTCTTAAACTCTCATTGAGGACACGGTTGAAGCGTCAGACGCACCTCGGTTCCGTGGCGATCATTGTTGCATCTGCATCTATTAGTGCTGCTGTCCATAAATCCCTCGCTCTTTTTGTTTGCTAGTCGCTCTCTACCCAGTAACACTTTTCAAGGATTTCATCTTCTCTTTCCTTCGCCCCAAACCCCTAGTCGCTGATCCCTGACATCACCCACCTGCCCACATACGACTTGTATCACCAACACCTACTCCGAGATTCCCGCTGTTCCCCCTCTTCAATTTCAATCGGGCCAGCAACACACACAAATGAGCAAACGAGGCTCGCGATCCAAGAATCGTGGCTCTGTACTCCGAGAACAGGGCTCGACCGACTCGCTCAAGGAAAAGAAGAACGGAGATGCGAACACGACCGCGACCATGAACGGCGCAATATTGGAACATCGGCGCAAGCATGCTTCTTTCGATAGCACTTCGCCCTCAAGTCAAGCTGCGTCGCTGATGGGCAATCCCAACTTCTCGCTCGATGACGAAGTACCTAAGCTAGGACAGGAGGATGAAGGACCATCCAAGGGCTTTTTTGAACTCTCAAAGAAAGACCAGAGCAACTTCTTATTGCTGGTTCTGCTGTACTTTCTCCAGGGTATACCCATGGGTCTGGCGCATGGCTCCGTACCGTTCCTCTTGAAGCACAGTGTCTCCTACGCCGCGATTGGTGTCTTTTCGCTTGCCGCGTATCCATACTCATTGAAACTTCTTTGGAGTCCAATCGTGGACGCAGTCTGGTCGCCTACTGTTGGCCGTCGCAAGAGCTGGATTCTGCCAATTCAGACAATCTCTGGGTTTTCTATGATTTGGCTGGGCAAGAACATCAACCGCATGATGAAAGAGGCTGGCGAGACAGACAGCGGGGTTTGGACCTTCACATGGTGGTGGTTCGCGCTTGTGTTCCTGTGCGCCACCCAAGACATTGCTGTAGATGGTGGGTAACACTTCTAGACTTAAAGTGGCAAGACTGACAATACCAGGCTGGGCACTTACTCTTCTCTCAAAGGAGAATCTCGCATACGCCTCTACTGCGCAAACCGTCGGCCTAACCGCAGGTCAATTCCTCTCGTACACTGTATTTCTGGCCTTCAACTCGAAGGATTTTGCGAACAGGTGGTTTCGCAGCACTCCCGCAGAAACGGGCATCATGGAGCTGGATGGCTACCTTAGCTTCTGGGGCTGGGCCTATCTGATTGTCACTTTCGGATTGGCAGTCATGAAGCGCGAAGACCGTGACAGGAACGGCGACGGCATTGGAGAGGTCTACCGCACCATGTGGGGTATCCTCAAGTTGAAGAACATCCAAAGCTTCATCATCATTCACCTCATTGCAAAGATTGGATTCCAGGCGAACGATGCTGTCACGAGTCTGAAGCTCTTGGACAAAGGCCTAAAGCAGGAGCAGTTGTCACTTGTCATCCTGGTGGACTTTCCCGTTGAAGTTTTCCTGGGCTACTACATTGGCAAATGGTGCCAGACGTACCCTCCGATGCACATTTGGTGCTGGTCATTTGTTGGCCGCCTGGTCGCTGCAGGGTTTGCGCAGTTTGTCGTGTCGATTTTCCCAGCCGGAGGTGCATCGAGTGGATTCCTCCTACTCGTCATTGCGGAGCATGTGCTCTCGACTTTTATGAACACAGTCATGTTTGTCGCTGTCAGCGCCTTCCACGCTAAGATCTCTGATCCGTTGATCGGCGGCACATATATGACTCTTCTCGCCACGTAAGTTCAGCTTGCCTCATCACACCACTTGGATTTGTAATTGACTTGAAATGCAGTGTCTCGAACCTTGGTGGAACATTTCCACGCTACTTTGTTCTCAAGGCAGTTGACATGTTCACCTCGGCGACTTGCATGCCGCCTGCTGGTGGGCTCAAGGCTGGCCTGAAAGGACCCCTCGTCACGCAGCCTTTCTCGTGCGCCGTTGAAGCCGAGAAGCATCGGTGCATTGAAGGAGGAGGCGTGTGCAACGTCACAACGGATGGATACTACATTGTGAACATGCTATGTATTCTGATTGGAGTATTGACATTCTGGGGGTATATCAAGCCTGCGGTGATGAGGATACAGGCATTGCCATTGCGCGCGTGGAGAATTGCTGGGTAGAGGTCCGCGGACACATGTATTTTGTAGTATGTAGGGCATAGAGTTAGAGCCTGTTATGGAATGGATGCACCCTGCAAGACTGCTGAACGTGTCTCGTCGGTTGCGACGGTCAATGCTAGTGTTGGCTGCAGTGAGGCTGAAAAGTTTAAATTCAATGTACTTGAGACGATGGCGAGTTTCCAAGACGCTTGCGCACGTTTGTCCCGCGCTCGCGCGCTCTCCCGTGATCAGGCGTGTGTGGGTAGCCAATAGTTCGAGACCTGATGCAACTGACAAAGACGCAACTGACAAAATACGCCGAAGATGCCGAAGGACTGGAACCGCGGCGCAGCATTTTGACTTTCTTGGGATTTCTGACATATCAGGCCATGTGCGTCTGCAGCGGGCCGGCATTAGTGTGGCAAAACCCTTAAAGAGAGCCCTGTACTTGCGCGCACTCTGATAACACGAGCACATCTCCAATCACGACATACTCCAAAGCACCTACAATCCAAACAGGGCCCCCAGTAAACGTCGACGCTTAGCTGAGTACGGCTAGTCACTTGGACCACGCGTTTTGACATCTGTCGCAAGCAGCCTGCTAGACTTAAATTTCTCTTTGGCCTTTCTTCCCTTGATTCCTATTCGCCTACAGCCATACCGCAGTCTACTACTTAAGTATCGGTTCAAACTCCCCTAACCTGAATCCGACTATACGCTCCGATTCTACCTCATCGCCGACCGCCAGTTGCGCTTTTAAAAGTCGAGTTCATTCCACGCCGATTCCGCCGAGTTCTGTCATTGTCATCAACTTGCGAACCGACTTGGACACACCGTATCGCCCCCAACTACGTAGATCTTTCCTCTCGTGTCGCGCGTCGTCCTCTTAGTACACAACCCAGCCAGAAACAATGGCCTACTCAGCATACCAGCCCAAGGCGCGGGTACAAAAGCCCGCGCCTCACTTCACTGGCACTGCTGTTGTCGATGGTACATTTGAAGGTACATTGATTTAGCCCTTGACAAGACAGGGCGATATATACTAATTGTCTCTGTCCAGAACTCAGCTTGACCGCCTACACATCCACCAAGCAATGGCTGGTCCTTGGCTTCGTCCCCATGGCCTGGACCTTTGTCTGCCCGACCGAGATTCTTGCGTTTAGTGACCGCGCCGCCGATTTCGCCGCCCGCGGCGCCAGTGTCGTCTTCTCCAGCACAGACAGCGAGTACAGCTTACTCGCATGGACCAACGCAAGCAAGAGAGACGGAGGGCTCGGCAAGATCAACATCCCCCTGCTTAGCGACAAGAACCACAGCATTGCGAAGGACTATGGTGTCTTGATTGAGGAAGAGGGCATTGCCCTCCGTGGACTTTTCTTGATCGATCCTAATGGCATTGTACGACAGATCACTATCAATGATCTTCCCGTCGGACGTTCAGTAGACGAGACTCTCCGTCTGATTGATGCCTTCCAGTTCACAGACAAGTACGGCGAGGTACGTATGCCTGCTATACGGTCTTCCAACCCATGTATATGCGGAGTTGAATGCTAACTTTGGTTCTCTAGGTCTGCCCCGCAAACTGGAACCCTGGTGATGAGACCATCAAGGCGACCCCCGAAGGCAACAAGGAATATCTCGCCAAGGTCCACGTTGACACCAAGATGTCAGATGTTGCGGCCAAGACAAATGGTAAGTCTACATGGCGCTGGACATAGTCGCGTGTCGGAGAATCCTGCAAATGCAGTGTGCTGATATCTTATCTTGCAGGTACTTCTTGAGTTAGATTGTTTGAGCCTGCTGAATCACGCGATGTTAGCATCTCGATGCCTCGAGGCTGTCTGCATTGATTGGCGCTGCTTTGGCATCTGTAATTAGTTTTCGGCCCTACAGCTTCACCATGCTGTCTTAGCGATCAACATTCCCCTCTATAGACCGTAGAAATTCTAAATTATATAATCACCGCGCCTGTTAGTCCTGCACGCCAAGTAAAATGGTGTTCCAGGCACAGCGGTATGATGCAAGTGTGCTATACGGATATGCGGTTCAAAAGCTCGGTGTGGATTTAATCAAGCAGTGCATATTGTGAGACGAATCGTCCAATCATCAATGCAAACACGTTGCATGTATATACCGTGTATGGAATGCATGCGTTAGCGCTCGCTTGGCACACGGCTTTGCGCGAACGCCTTCGGTCTACCCCTTTCGATAAGGTCCACGAGCGACTCTCCAATCATGGAGCCGCGACTAAATGCATTACTAGACCTCTCCAGCCCAGGCGGCATGCCGTACGCGACAAATGCACCCGATGTTACTACGTCCAGCTCGCATAGGCCACCGCACCAAGCCGATTCTACTTTTGTGCGGCCCAAAGCGCTGATGCTGGCGAACTCATTGTCGCCAGACAACACCCAGGCCAACGATTTCCGAAAAGAAGTACATGACAAGATCCACCCAACGCGAGCAATGCCTAGTGCTCCTATAGCACAGGTACTCAACAATGAGGCCAATCTGCTTTCTTCACAATCTGTTCCCAATACTTTTGCTCCCTCTACGACCCCATTCAGCGGCCGACTAGTGGATCTCCTCCTGGAGAGTCCCGAGCATACAAAACAACGATGGGATCAAGACCAGCAATTCTTGCAGCCCGACAATACGGGATACAGCCCTTCTGTAATCAAGCTCCCCAGACTTCCACAGCCTCCCAAGAAGACGGCAAAACGGCCTAGGATACCGCCGCTATTACAGGGCTTACATCAGCCTCCACCTTTACCACCTGAGGGCAGGTTGTTCCCGCCAATCACTGGAGAGAAAAATGCTTTTGCTGGTGAAAGAGGATACGATTCACTATTTGAAGAACCAAGAGGTAAAGATGTGGATGACCATGCTTTTCTTGAAAACAACACCCAGGAACTCGTTAGGAGTGCTCAACATGGCGAGTATGGCCCAAATAGTCAGGTGGCAGCACAGAATGCCCCGCTGAGTGGAGTACCTACTGTTCAAGAGGCCAAGGCCCAGTCGAACCAGGAGATAAGTCCTCCTAGTCAAACCCAGATTAAGCGTGGAAAGAAGCGAACCAAGTGGTCAGAGCAAGAGACCAAGGATCTGCTTATAGGCGTGAGCAGATTTGGTATTGGAAGCTGGAAGAAGATACTACAGAGTCCAGACTTTACGTTCAACAACCGCACCGCTGTTGATCTGAAAGACCGATTTCGCGTGTGCTGTCCTGGTGAAGGTTTGAAACCCAGGCAACCAAGGGCCAGCGTCAAGGAAAAGCACTCAGTGGACGTTGTAGGTACCCACCCTGACGGTCACGGTAAGAGTGCAGAACAAGGGCACAAAACAAACAACTCTGCATCTGCATCCTCAGATTCTACAGTAGCTACACGTACAACCAAAGCTACCGCTACAATGCCCAACCTCTCTGAGCTGGGTATCCACGAGCCCTTTTCTAAAACAGCACGCCGCCCGCGACGCCCCTTCACAGCAGCCGATGACGTGAACCTACTCAAAGGATTCGAAAAATACGGCCCAGTCTGGCACTCCATGCGTGACGACCCGGAGCTCGAGTTCGGATCGCGACACGCAACAGACCTACGCGACCGATTCCGCATCCGGTACCCAGAACGCTACGTAAGAGCAGGCTACAAGCTCAAAAATAAAGAAAAAGAGCGAGAAAGAATGCGAAGAGGCATAGACATGGAAACCGACGCTACCTCAGCAGTAGAATCCTCTCCATCTCTCACCACACCCAAAGATAAACCTCACGACGAAGCAAACACCATCGCTCTATCTAAACCCCCAACCATAACACCGTTATCCTACCCATCCACCAACAGCGTCCCCCTCACCTTCTCCCAACCCCCGCTCTCCTCCCACCTCCAATACACAACTCCAACCACCACCAATGGCCCATCCCTCAAACCCTTCACAACATCCTCCTCGTACCTTGCCGACCCCTTACCCACGCTCTCCTTCTCCGACGAAGAAGACATCACAGACGACATGGCGCATAACGCGCATTCAGGCGGCGGCGGCCAAAGCCCCGTGACGCTGAGTCGGAATATTCTGCGCTGGGCTGATGCGAACCCTTCGTCTTTGTATTCGTTTGTCCCCGGGGCTGGAGGGTATAGGGCTGCTAGCGGAAGCATTGGTGGGGGAGAAAGACTGATGGGGTTTGGAGGGGGTAGTGAAGGGGTAGGTGGGAGTAGTAGTACTGGTGCTGCGTTGGCTGGAGGACAACAGGTGCAACAGCAGCAGCAGCAGCAGCAACAACAACAACAACAAGGTGATGGCATGACAAGGAATAATATCCTTCCCGAAGCAGAAGGCTGGTCTTTTGTGGATCGAACGGCGAATCTGGCGTCGTTCAAGTATCGAGGTTGAAGCAAAGAAGGAACAATAACGAAGTCACAGTTTGGAATTATGACGGGTAAACGACAAGATATGGTATACTACATGGGAAATTGCATCTTTATTCATTATCTTCATACACCCTTTCCGTGTTCCTGAATTACCTAGCACTTTGGCAAACGGCCAGACAAAACTGTCTAAAATCGCCTCGAGTCGCTTCTTCAAGGTCTTCTTCAACCATGCGTCCGTATTTCTCTTCGTACTCGTTCATCACGCGCATGAGGTGCATGCGATCCCAGTGGAAACGGACAAGGCGCGAGATAAGCAGCTCGACGCGCTGTTGGCGGTCGTGTTTGCTGGATGTAGAGGAAATGCGGCTGCCAGAGGAGCGGCCGTCTGCGGGGGGTTCGATGAGGTCAATGAGGGCGTGGTGGAGGAGCATGGCGTCTCGTGCGGGTCGGTTGACTGGGGAAGGTTAGTACACGAGTACCTTGTTGAGGTGAAAGTGGTAGGGGAGAGGGGGAAATTGACTTACTGACGCCGTTGAGAATATGTGCAATGACTTCGCCAACGAGATTGTTACTCTTCTTTAGTGCGTCCCTAGCAAAGTTTCCTTGATACTTTCGCTCGTACGTTCGGAGCACCTCGCGCAGATGCGCATCGCTTCG